ATTTTGCATTTTAAAAATGTATGTTCTAGAATGGGTCCTAAAAGCTGCTGTTGATTGATCTTCCCTAATATTTTCCCACAAACCTGCTGGTAGGTACACATCAGATAGTGTTGTTATTCTAGCATTTGCAGTCATATATTTAAGAGTGGAACAGGTTTCTATATGGAAGTGAGGAAGGGAAAGACACTTCACTGCAAAAGCCACCCTTGATTTTAAAAGACCCAACAACTGCATAGCAAAGAGTTAAAAGGCAATTAATTATAAGCCAAGAATCTTGGCACAAAAGATGGACTTCTCTACCCATCTGGATCCATAATTCAATCTAATCCTAAACAGTGTTTACATATTAGACTCCAAAGCCAAAGACGTCCCTGCAAAGCTGTGCACAAATCATTTGTACATTTTGCATCTCTATCACAATGTTGAACACCCACATTTCTTGTTATCCAATTGGTATTTTAAATCCTTCCACCTTCTCTTTATATTCCCTCTCCACATGTAGCTTTCAGACAAATAACATTTGCATAAAGTAGGTGAATTCTATTTTTAAAATGTATGCTTTATTTCACTTTTTTGTTGGTGGGTAACAGGATAGGGAAGTAAACATTTCAGTATTTTTTTGTTGTTGGTAAAGCATTCAAATTAGGGACAGATGAGGCTACAAATCAATCAGTAAGATGCAGGTCAAGAACAAAAAGGAAATCTGAAAACCAGCTTTTCACACAAGACCACAGGCTTTGACTTCTGTCAGCTGCACTATAACACACACTCCTTTGCTGACTGAGTGACTGGTTGTGACTTTCAGAGCTTTGGTTTTATCAGATTCCTTACCAGCAATTTAGGTTGATGGCTCTCTCAAAGGGTTGGAGAAGAATTAAGAAAACGATGTTCTTAGCACACAGAGAACTGCAAGAATCCTGATTCCATTCATTCATTCTTTCCCTCCCCGTCAATAGTGTATATGTGAGGGGTTAGGGGAATAGTCCAACTCTCCAAGTGGCTCCAGTATTCTTTTGGCTCGCAGTAACAAAAACAGCTCTTCCCCTGACAGCTGATATATGAAAAGCACTAGCTATCATTTTTGGATTATTAAATAATAATTCACAGGATGCTGACTCATGACTGTTCCAAGAAACTCAAAGTAATATTACTTCATTATACATAAAACCTATTTGATAAACTTTAATTCAATGTCCACAAAACACTGCCTGTGCGTGAGGTGTTTTGTACACTTCAGTGTTCTAGAGAACACTATGAAGCAGCTCCTCTGAAAATTAAAAGTACCTCACTGGCACAAACCAAATATCAAACCACACTGGCATGTGTTTACAAGGACAAAGGGTCCATCGGGGCATGCTTTATTTGTTGCCAAACTTATTTCCCCTGCTTCATAAAGAAGTATGGGTTGTTGTTTTTTTTAAAAAAAAAAAAAAATCCTGTGCTCCAAATGTGAGACCCCCTTGGAAGAAAATTTGAGTACAATATTAACCCTGGCTAACCAGTTAATTCCTGGGAGCATCTCCACTCACTGACTACAAATAATCACATCTTAGATTTAGTGCTCTTAATTAGCTGCTCACTTGACAGGTTTATTTTCAAGGATGTTTTATTTAAAATGCAGATAACCACAGGTCAGGAATTTCATTCTGTATAGCTTAATATTAGGTGATGGTTTACCGTAAAATTACCAAAACATGTAGGAGGACCTAGAGTCTTCCCTCCCATCAATCCTTTCACTGTATTTGAAGAATGTTTATTATCTTCCCTGCCCTCATCATATCCATTCAGAGTCATACTGATGCCCATTTGTACGCTAACCTGTTTTGTTTGTTGTTTTGAGTGACAGACAATACCTCTGGGCATAAGAGAGACACTTTACTTGGACAAAAAGTTGCTCATTTTTGTTAGCAAATTATCAAAATGCATGCTTTGTTTCTCCAATGGGCTTGTCATCATGTGAGTTTTTAAAATTTTTAAATTAATTTATTTTTTTAAAGATTTATTTTATTTAAATTTATTTTAAAGATTTATTTTATTTTAAAGATTTATGGGTGTGCTCAACCGCTGCACCCATGTGACTTTTTTTTTTTTTAAAACTGAGAAATCCCACCTATGTTAGCTGCATTGGGGGAGTGGGGAAGAGGGCTGTAGGGAAAAGAATGCAGCTGGCTAGGACCCTTTTCCCACCAGACCATTCTTCTAATGGGTTAAGTTTTCCTTTTCTCCACAGAGTGGTGACTAATTCTAAGTCCACAAGATAAAGTATGTGCAAATATTTTAGAAGAAATTAATACAAACACATTGCAAGCTGTTGCTCAAGTTTTTACTGATGGAAATATGCCAACAAAGTCTGGAGACCACTGGCATAGAAGTTAGATTCTAAGGCTGCAGGAATTACATTTCCCTGTCATTGTTCTGGGGTAAAAGTAGCTTGTACTTTAAGATTAGTAACATTCTGCAAAAATGTTTTGTTTCTTTTTGAGGATAACTTTTGAAAACTTCTTAAACACCAACTTATTCTTATCTCCTATGTCTTCAATTTCTAATAATGTAGTACAATTCAAGCACAGGTAAATCAATAGAAACAGCAAAATTCCCTATTTTTATTATTATATCACCCTAACTATATAATTCTCTCCACAGACACTGAAACTAAATAAAATCAACCATAGTTGCACAATTTGGTGGCTTAAGTTGGATATTTAAGATAATCATATAACTTCTGTCTTGCACAAATATCTCATCCACAGACTCTCTTCACTTTTAAGTAGATTTTGCTAATTGTCACATCAACTCCTAACATGACTCAAGGGAAGTTACTTAAGAACAAAATGACACAGTTAAAATGCCCTTGACTTCTTTGTGGGACCTCCCTCTAAGAGTAAACTGAAAGCTAGGTGGCATGTCATCAGATAGCACAGAAATGTTGGCGTTTGCGAATGTACTTTTGGGTGACCACCCATCTAATAATAAAGCACAAGCATTTCAAAGTAACTTGTCTACAAGTAGTTGATTATTGTATCTCATTAAAATTTTCCTTATTGCAAGTATGTAATGTTCAAATTAATCCCCAAAAGAGGAAGTAGGATTCTTTCTCAGTCTTTTCTTCCCTTCCATATTTACAGGTCATCCCCAAATAGCCAACAAGGCAATTTCCAAGCTTTTCTACTGATATTTGCCATCAAAGGAACCAGATCTGAAATTTTTCCAGGCCCACCTTCTCAATGAAGTCAAAGAGAATGCTCCATTATTTCAAAAGAAACACAAGACAAGAGAATTAGTAGTTTTGATTTTTAAGACAGAAAAATCAACTCCATGACTCAGCTTCCCCAATATTTAAGAATCAATCTTAACAACACGATTTTTTCAAAAGATTGATTTATTTATGCATACAAGAGCTGGGGTACAGGCTAGAGGTGCGGAAGGTGAGAGGATTCACCAGAGACAGAGTGGGGAACAGACCAGGCAGACTGACTAAAATACACTGCTGCGGGGAGCAGCGGGCGAGACAGGAGAGGTCTGCCATGCCATGTGGGTAGCTCCCTGGCCAGGAATCAAACTTGAGCTGCAGAGGCTGGGGACAGGTTCACGGTGCTGTGCTTAACCCCTTGTGCCACCAGGGAGGCCCCTACAATATGATTTTTAGAGTTGAGATTCATTCCAATGTCATTCTTTTTTGAGGAAGGAAGAAAACAAAGATAGAGGGAAGGAGGCAGGAAGGAAGGAAATGAGGAGGGAAGGGAAGGGGGGGTAAGAAGGGAGGAAGAAGAGAGGGAAAGAAGAGAAGGGTTGTGAGTAAGGCAGTGTCATATTCACTGAAACTTACAGGACTACTCAGAAGTCTCCCTGAGGTGCTAGGTTCTAGGATTAGTTTAAGAGGAACAAATTTCATGCATCACGTCAAAACTGCAAAAGTTCCCCAGAGAGGGCAATCGATGATAACTAGGAGCAGCATCTAAGACTTCTCAGAAATATTTCAAACCACTTATCTCTTTCCAAAAGTTTGTTTTACTTCTACAGAAAGCAAATCCCCTTGCCCATTAACAGGGGTGGCATTCAAACAGACTGAGATAAAATCATTCCCTTAAGTTTGTCTTTGAAGTGGAAATGTGATCATATGCAAAGCACCAAAGGAATAAAAACACTTTCAATTGCCTTCTCAGATGACAAATGAAATTTCAGGTTTAGAGTTAAATGCTTGAATTATAACATGTGATCTCTCAGGTTAGAATTACCCTTTCCATCAGGGGACCCCATCTGAGAAATGTTTTGAGAAAGAAGGAATTACTATTGCTTCAAAATAGCACTGAATTTGTGTTAGTGGAAACTCCTGAGAAAGCCTTCCTGAGAAAGACTTAACAGGGAAAAATATACCATCACCTTGAACCCTGCTACCACCACTGCTCTTAGCAGAAGTACATTCACAAAGTTATATAGAAAGCTGTGAATCTGGCATTCCCAAGTAACAATCAGTCATCCTTCTAACTGTATTTGATGCCATTTTTATATTCAGGAAAACTCTCTGACTTGTTTTCCCTCTACGAACATTCAGTGGGGCAGAATTAATACTGAGTTTGGAATCTGAAAACCAGGATCAAGGTCCAGATCTCACTTTGTTACATGCAACTTGATTTTTATAGGTACACAGGACAGAAGAGTACCACTATATGATGTAAATAAAATCAGTGACCCTGCTGTACATCCTCCGGTTGCAATTTGTGGTTTTTTTTTTTTTTTCAGTGATTTTTTGATTAAACTCTTTCCTTTCTGAATATAAGGAGGTAGGGACCCTTAGACTCAGGGTCACTGATAGTGTCTGGCACATAATTGGTATTTATTAAAAATATTTGTAGAATGAGTGGCTAATATTTTTAGCATGTGTTTTGATGTTCCCCCCAAACTGAGCCTGTCACACTATTAATAAAAACATAACATGCTTGCATCATTTATTTAAAACAATAAACAACAGAAAAAGTTTAAAGAATCAGGTATTCCATGTGTTCAAGTGAATATGTTTTATTAAATGCATACTAATATCTTTCTATAGTATGTGAGTATACATAATAAATTAAAATGTATATATTTATTAAATATAGATATAATACCAGAACATAATTATTTCAGATGAGAAATCAAAATAAACCCATTTTTAAGTATCTTTTGGTCACTCCAAATTGCTATTGCTCATAAAAAAATACACTGATTTTCCCTAGGGAAAAAAACTTAATTCCATTGCAATGTAGTTAAGGGACGTGTTTTATTTCATAGCTTTCTGCAAGCAAGCTTGCTTTGATACAAAATGAGTTCAATGATACAGGTGCTATGTCCACTCAAGCAAAAGAAAACCTCACATTTATAAGAATGCACTTTTTAATTATATTCTTACAGTATTATAGGTCTAATATCCAGGATGCCTCTGGCTTCATGTAAAGCAATGGCACGGAAATGCTGCAAGGTTCTTGAATATCAGAGCACTGGCAAGTGTCTAAAGCAACTTCCTTTGAGTTTCTGTCAGATACTGCTTAAAAAACTGTGTCTGTTTTTCTGCTTTCCACCTTTTAGCTTACATTGAAATCAACCTGAAGTGTATCCCCACCTTCAGTTGTTTACAGTTTCTGCAAAAACAAGAATATGTCACCAGGTATCCTAGCATCAGCTGCGGATGCCGTGCTACGACTGTATCGGAGGATGGGGACTTACCTGGAGGTACAGTGACTGGTTTTAGTGTGTGTTCCACACCTTTCGGTGCAGAAATGTTAGTGCATGTTAAAAGCTTTTTTCTCCCGCTCACATATGATGTGACTCTAACCCCAGAATATCTGACCCCAAAAAAATTATACAGATAAAATAAAAAGACAAATACACAAATAAGGCCATCTGCAGAATTTTAAACTCACCTCTTGCAATATTTCACAATAATTTCTACATCATATTTTACAGTTTTCAAACTTAAATAATAAATGCTCAAGGAAGGGTATAGTGGACCCATCGCACTATCTCTTTGAGGACTTGTCCAATTTGCTGGCAGGTGATTTCCTTTGTGGTGTGGGTATTTTAGAAGGCTTGGCTGTGGCTGGCCGAGAACCTGCTCGGGGTGTAGGTCTGTGTGTTGGGGGTACAGTCTCCACGTCTGAGCACACAGATTGGATTTCTGAAATGTCAAAGTCTGATGCATCACTGCCTCGGCGGCTGCTGGCCCTGCTACCAGCTTTGCTTCCGGCTCGGCTTCCTGGTCGGCTGGGTGTCTTCTTGGAATCTGAGGATAAAGGGCAGCGATGGGTATTATTAGGCCCATCTGCACAGATTCATAAAACCTAATGCCAATTTTAATATTGTTTTCTTCACACCCAATAGGTACCATGAAAATACTTGGGGGGAGAGGAGGGTCTCCATTCTACAAGGGAAGGCAGCTTCTTTATAAGCAGAAATGTTATACAGAAAGCTAGATTTTTAAACAAAAGGTAGGTTTAGACTTACCCCTAAAATAGGATTCTACTTACTGCAAAGAGACATAGGAACATGCCTATCATTTAAGATTATGCTTTCCAAAGTTTTGCCTGTGTTTCCAGTGTTGTATGCAGTGTAGAGAACAAACTCTGAGATAGCAGTTTTGCCTGAGACACAGTAATTCAAAGCACATAGGAACTTAAAAGATAAGATTTGAAACTTGAAAGAAGCTTCACATTTGCTGAGTTCAGGGGTTAAGTTCACTATTCTTTGAAGAAATGTGAGAAGTACTGCTATAATGGCAATTGTGGCTGGGTTTTTCCAATCACCCACAACAGAACCCAGTGCAATTTCTAAGCAGGCAGAAGAACCAAGGACTTGCAGATTGAAGGGGTAGGGTGTTACTGTAGATTTTATTGTATTCTATAATCATTCTTTCATCTTTCTTTGGTAATTCCAAAAGGAATTTTGTACTCACTTATTCCCATGACTCACTTATTCCCTACTTTTACTGAAGACTTAGAGTCATGAATCATTTCAGAAGAATACAGCAGCTTCATTTTGTAATTTCTACCCCAATTAGGAAGAAAAGTTACTTTAATTATCAGATTATACAACAAAAGAGAGAAATATGCCTTACTTACCAGCAAATTGAGTCCGGACTCTGGTGGCTGCAGTTGTTATCAGGCCACTGTCATCCCCCGAGTGGAAGCCTTTCCCTGATAAATATCCTGGAAGTCGAAGCTTGCTTCCTTGTATTGGTGTTCCCTGTATTTAATCAGAGAAAAGACAGCTCAAGATAGTGTTCCTGTCCCACAATATTCCACCAACATCACTTCACAGATAGGTGGAAGCCCTCAAACTAGACCTCTTGGTAGTATGGAGTTACATAGGGGGTGGGGTTATCATTTGCTTACTCCACGAAATTCCCAATTTCTCCCTTCAAAGAGAACCTCTAAAGAAGATGAATTCACAATAGAGAAGAAAGTATACAGATGGAGATCCCCAAATGATGTTATGAGGAAACAGACAAACTGTGAGCACATTAGTATCTTCCAGATCATCAGTGATCATTAGAGTTAAGAGAGCAAGCAATGCCAAGAGACATGACTACAAAAGCCAGGGAGAAGAGGGGCTCTGAGAAATTGCATTTGGGTATTCTGTTGCCTGCAATGATTTTCGGGAACTAGACAGAAATAAATACATGGAAATAGAACAGAAAGTAAATAAGTAATGTCTCCAAAGCAATCATTTCTTAACTTAAAAATAAAAAAGAATGCCACTTTAAAATTTTGTACACCATGTCATTTCACTTCCTAGCTCTATCTCCTTTGGTCCTTATATGCACGCTACCTAGGCAACATTTGGTGATAATTTTTTTTTAATATTTGTACAGTTCACAGAATGTCTAAAGCAATCACAACTATGAAATTTTGAGTCTAAAATTGCAATTTTTTCTAGATCACTACAACATTTTGGCATTATCCCAAAGTTAAAAATATAAGCACATCTCCTGAGAAGTGTAAAGGAGGTCATATTTCTCCATGAACTCACAGGGAGCTCTTTGGAGATCAATCTGTACATATTACATGTGAATTCTCTGAAATTAACTTTTCCTTTATTAACAGTTTTAAATATAAATATATTTTGAATCACCCGTTATAATTTAGTATATTAATAAAATACTAATAATTTATTTACATGTGCCATACACATATATTTAAATACAGAATTTGTATTCATATAATACAAGTTTTCAAATTATCCTCACATATATAACCACAATTAATCCTCACACTCAGAATGCCTTGATTGTTTTGATCTTACTATCAAACTCTACCCTTAGTAGTTTTAAGAGACTCATAGAAGTATACTGTTGTTTGTTTGACTGCTTGGCTTTTATTTAATAAGGCTATTTGATATGAAACATAGTTTTAGATTAGTCAAAATAACATTTTAGACTTTCATTTAGAGGAGTCTCCATTTTTAAAAAAGTTGACCTAAGAGACCAGCGTAGCCCTCAATACTTACAACACATGTGCTTGAGGTACCTTAAACCTTTCTCAGTTTTTGTTGTAACTGTTCATCGTAAATGACAGACATCTCCAGATGTGATTTATGATGCTAACATATGTGAGGAAAGTAGTGGAAAGGAGGGGCTGAGAGATTGAGGAAAAGTTGAAGAATGAGCTGTTTCTGTGCAATTCTCCCACTCTCAACCAGGTATTTTCATTATTTCCATCTGAATCATGAGGACAATGAAATTTTCTCTGCCTACCTCCAATTATTGATTTATACCTCATCCACTCACTGTTCCTGGGCAGAAATACATGTAACAGACATTCAGAAGCTCCTTGCCCATAGTGAACACTCAATGAACATCATTTTCATTTAAGTGATTTTCTTGCCAATGATACTGCCTCACTCTCATCTAAAGCCAGTGCATTGCATTTCTTGACTAAATTATATCAGGAAGTAAAACCGTACCATCAGTTTTAAAAAAAATTACTTAGGTCTGGATGTGATCTCCTATATGTGCTTTCCCAAGAGAAAGAAAAAGAATTATGAGTAAGAAAACCAAAAAACAAACCAAGAAACCAAAAGAGGTCCAGACAGAAGGTGTCAAGCTCAAGGTGCAATAAGAGGTCTTTTCTGTTGACCCCTCACACTTTGTGTTTTCAAGAACTGCTGTGTTGATACTTATTTTATAGACATGTATAAAAAGATGTAGCATTATCAAAAGTACATCTTTTAAGGGAGAGGTGAAGCAATGTTAGTGGGTGAAGTTACAGTTAGGGAAAACTGTTAGACTGGAATCTGGGGCCTTACGATACCTCTGCAGATGGCACGGAAAAGTCTGAGCACTCTGCTGGTTTACAAGGAGTTGACATTTTGCTGTTTGTCAACCATGGTTTACCATAATTGCGTGTTAAAGGATGGAGAATCTGTATGGAACAATGGCAAATCAAATGTAAAGGATAGCAGATAAAATACAAAGCCATAGAAAGAGATTGTTCATAGCACAGTCACATTTCATAGTAAAAATGATGATAATGATAATAAAAAAATAAGTGGAAAGACTTGATGGCAAATCATACATATCAAAACAAAAATGACTGAAGATTTAAAAGGATAAACCTATCTGAAAGGTAACCAAAGTTCCTACACAGACAGTTTCTAGATAGGCCACCAGGCAAAAGCATATATGTAAAAAGCGAAAAAAAGCCCTTCATTTCCCCTATTGTGAGAAAAGGCACAAATAGAGAAAACCGATCCTACAAATACTAAGGTCCTAAAACATTCAAAAGTATACTCAAGACACAGATTGCAAGGGAGAAGGAAAATATTTCGTGCCCCAATCCTACCTTGGGTGTGCTGGTGGCAGGGACCTGTGGGGAGGCCACATGGCCAGCCTGGCTGGACACAGAAGTCGATCGATTTGGTGAAGCACCTCTCGATGAAGGCCGGGATCTTCGGCCCCGGGGTCGGAAAGCTGCCATACCCTGACTGGCACCATCTGCTAAAATGAACTTCTCACGTAGCTCCATATTTGTCCTTCCTTTCGCTGGATTAAGTAACACACAACAATGCACACAAACAGAAGAGGAAGGGGAAAAATAAGAGGCATTCAGTAGTTTATAGGAAGAACAACCACCTGGCAGCAGAGATCACGCTGAGGATTTCAAGAACATCTTTTTGCCATGCCAACTCCAACTCAGCATAACAAAAAGTTAAATGCATTTCTTTACAATGCATTCCTTTTGGATACAAGTGAGTTTGGGAAAGAAAAAAAAAAAAGTATGCTTACTCTAACACTAGACACCAGCGAGAATAACCACCATTACAGAAAGAGTCAGCATGAAAATGGAAAGCTCATGCTAAAATATTGTTAATCCACCGGCTACCAATGCCCACATGGTTTCGTCACCCTTTCTCCACACTGAGAAGACAAGCCAGTAAGGCAGGACTGTGTCTCTTGCATGTACTACTGAGGTAAGAAGAATGCCAGTATTGTAACATTGGGATTCATTAAACAATAGAATCATACAGGACGAGAGATGGCTTGTTAATCATGGTGACAACATATAAACATTCAGGTTTTTCACTTAAATGAGGCAGCTAGCATTTTTATTTTGTGCCTTGAAAAACTCTGTTTTACTAACATGCAATAACAAACACCAGACCCAAGGATCCATGAGGTCATTGTGATGCAACACTCATACAAACACATATGCACACGGAGAACACCCCATGAGAACCCGATGAGCAACGTGTTAGCATGTGTTTGATCACTTCTGTGATACCTGCATTTGTAGCACACCAGAAATGTGTCAAATTTTCAAAATTAAAATTTGGAAGCAACAGCTCAGTTGGACATGAGTTAAGCCATACGCAACGGATGAAGCGTGTTATTTTAAAACAAAAAGGTTAAAGCAAGAATGTAAAAGTAGGAAAGAGAAAAAGAAAAGAGGGCAGAGGCAAAGAGAGGGGTTGCCAACCTATAGTAGGCTGAGTAGTAGTAATTGAAGAGTTTGATTCCGAACGTAACATTTTACTCCCATGATGATGAACTAGAAAAAATGACACAGGATACCAATCACATTAAAGAATACTGTTAGCAGGAGAAGAAACAAAGTACAGTAATTGAATACGCAAAGGGTGCTCAGGTCCGGCCTTTAGCACACAATTTAGAAGAAAAGTTGCATCAGGGAAAGAAGCACTCAATGGCGGACTCAAAAAGAAAAACGTATTTGGAGGACTTTGTCACAGTTTTGCTAACTTTCCTAAGTAACCCAATAGATCAGTATATGTTCTAATTTGTTCTATAAACAATGCTGCAGGACCTGAGGTTGTGTAATTTTCAAAAGATAAAACAAAAAGTAGCTTTGCTCACATCCTACCTCTTTCTACAGGTGTGTATCTTTGATGTGCAGAGAACAGGGTTACTAAGAATGGCAGCGAGATAATAATCCACAGTGGCCTTAGCAGGGAGGCCTGCTGGCTGCACAGGAACCCATTTGGACATACCTGTGTCTTCAGATGCCAGCAAGGAAAGCAAGAGGCCCCACTGGAGGAAGTGTGGCCACACACTTAAAAGTCTAATAGCTCCAGTACAAACATTTGCTGTTGTTAATTTAGTAAGATTAAAATGAGCTCACAGATTTAAGAAAATCACACACCCAAAAAATTGTTCTTTTTTTTCAAAGAAATTGGCCTACTGTGTGACTAGGTCTTAACTCTGCAATCAAAGGGTCACTTGTAAGGTAAACCAAAGAAGGAAGAATTCAAAAATTGAATGTAGGGGGCCTCCCCTGGTGGCTCAGCGGTTGAGCGCTGGGCTGCGAGGCTGCCTGCAGCATCTGCATAGCCGGTTCATTCCCCGGCCGGTGGGGAGGGTCCCACCAAAAAAAAAAAAAAAAAAAAAAAAAAAAATTGAATGTAGGTTCTGAAAAATAAGGAAAATTAAAAGCTAACCAAGGGCTGATCGCTGGTAGATAAGAAGAGAGGTGGCATATTATATGTCTATATTTTTAATGCTCTAATCTGTAACTTCAAAGTCAGAGTCAAGCTAGCAGTTATTATTTTTCAATTCTTAGGTATTGTTTTCCTCACCTCGACCTAATTTTATAAAACTTTCACCTTTAAACTTTTGCTACTTAGTGCCCTCAATCTTCATCGCCTTAATTTTCTTTCCTCTCACTTTGCTATTGAAGGACTTATAAAATACTTTCCCTGGTTGGTATCATTGTTCATTTTGAAAACTGCAGATGGGAGCATCCCATAAAGAAAAGCTAATCTAGATCTCCTGACTACAAGTCTCATATTTATCCAGCAGAAGTAAAAAAAAAAAAAACAAAAAAAAAAAAAAAAAAAAAAAAAAATGAGAACATGATTTACATGACTGCACAAGTTCTTTCAGAGCTTCAGGCTGACAGAGACCAAAGTGAAACATTCACTGTTGTAATAATGACTAAAATTATAACCAGTATGCTTTTGATGCTGGGAAAATAATACAAAACTGCTATATTCTCATGGTGTTACCCTGACATGCGCATCTCCTTACCCCTGCAAGGATCATTTTTCACTAAGAACTCATCAAGAGCCATCCATCCACCACCAACGCGAACCATCACGGTACTGCGCAGGATTCGAACAAGTCGCAGTTGCTGGGAGTCTCCAAACTGTAAAGATGAAGAGAGAAAGACCCTCTAATTGTCAGTAGTAATTCTAAGCTGAAGGATGATGTGCGGTCTGCGGTAGTTTAAGCAACCAACTTTAATTTCTTGCTTAGTTCACAGTGATTAGTAAAAATCTCAGAAAGAAGGATTTGTAATGATCTGCGTTAGACGGCTGCATGCTGATTTAGCCCAAAGGAAATAGTATGAAAAAAGATAACAAAGGTTATCAAGTACAATACTAAATCTTTCTTTGAAAAATTATTTTTCTTTCTTATGACAGAAACATTACTAGGGCTATAATAAGCACTGACTCACTTGCCCAGAGGATTTTAAAGAAAACTTAATAACTACATTCTTCTTCATTAAAACGTCCTCTCATATTTAAAACTGTTTTCCACTGTAATCTGTGGGAGAAATCTTCAAAAATTCACTTTGTTTTCTCTAACAGTAATTCTGACTCAGGGAGATAAAGTGGTCAAAGAAGATGATCAATAAAAATTTCAGTCCACTAAAATTTTTGTAGCCTTGATCATCTGGTAAGGCAATTTACTGAAGGCTGGGTTATGTGCCAGTTTCGATTTCTGTAATACTAGAACAGTCACTGACACATTATCAATGATATACCTTTTCAATTTAAAAGGTTTTTTTCTCAAAGCAGATGGCTGACACTAACAATTATCTTTTTTCTTGCCCTTTCAATGGATCTCCAATCACTTGGATATGCTACAATTTCCGCAAGTCTTAAATAAATGCCTAGACTATAGGTAGGTTCTGATCATAAGATCTATATTATGAAAGCCCATGAGAAATGATTTTATACTTTTAAAACATTTCTAATAGGCTCATGTCCAGCTTTTAAAAGCCACCATACTGCATTTCATGGTTGTAAACCCAGTAGATACCATAGCAAAATGAATACCCAATAAAACATAAATAGCTTCTTTGTAAGGCAAGTAAGGTACAATCGTGACTTTGACTATTTGTCTGGGCTCATGATGGAGAAACAATTTTAAATTGAAATAATCTGCAACTTTTCCATGAGCTTTAACACTGAATTTCAGGAAGAAAACTCTAAAACAAAGCCAATTATTCAAGATCCTGAAACTCAGAAAAACCTAGAAAGCATGTAAAATGCACCAGCAGCAACTCATGCATTTTACATCAAACCTTCTAAGTATCACTATTTCTAAGTCCATTTTTAAGTCTTGAGACTTATACTTTTCTATAATTGAACCTATTCCTGAAATGTAAATCAAAATTAAAAATTCAATGTATATATATTTATTTGTTAGAATAAATTTGGCGCTGCTAATAAGCAAAGGGCAAGAAGGGGATTTAAAGAAAATTACCCTTAAGGAACCAGATAATTAGATTAGTATGTTTTGTTCCAAAATTATGTTCAAAAGAAGAGCTTTGAAGAAATAACTAGTTTGTGGACATATTTGAATTTTAATAACAAAAAATGATTTTGTCTTGAGAAGGTATTTATTAAACAGCTAACACTGTCCTTTAGAATTTTCCTAATCTTCTCAAAAGCCAAATTGCAAGGTAAGAAAAAATGGACTGGGCCTCCCCGGTGGCGCAGCGGTTGAGCGCTGGGTTGCGAAGCTGCGCGCGGCCTCTGCGGCGCCGGTTCGATCCCCGGCTGCTCCCCGGCCACCAGAGGAGGGTCCCACATGGCGCGCAGACCTCTCCTGCCGCCCGCTGCTCCCCTCAGCAGTGTACTTCGGTCCTTCTGCCTGCTCTGCTCCCCGCTCTGGCTCTGGCGAATTCTCTCGCCCTCCCGCGCTTCTGACTGTACCCAGTGCATGTATAAACAAAACAAACAAAGAAACCAGCAAACAAATAAATAAAGCATGCCTCTATAAAAAAAAAAAAAAAAAAAAAAAAAAAAAGAAAAAATGGACTAATGTGCTTTCAGTGACTAAAACCTCTTGAGGTGACTTTTTCATCCTTTCACAAATAAAAGATGTTATCACAATTACTAATTCAGAAAATAACAAGAATTGAAAAGTAACTTTTTATGTATTATAACTAATAGAAGTTTTAGAAACATCTTCTCAAAGTAATTAAAAATTTATATTTAAAAATTATTTCCAATAAATAAGGATTACAGGTAACTTGAAACTTAAGATATAAAATGTCTTAAAAACTGAGTGGCATATTAATAATATGATTAATAATATAATTAATAATATGATTTGGTCAGGAAATTTAAATAGCACAATTCATTCCAAAAGCATACAGCAGAAGTATCGCCCTATTTAAGTCAAAACCTGATTTCTCTTGTATTTAAGTTCTAAAATTCTGATCATGATGCTGTGTGACTACAGTTTATACTGACTTAAGTGTGAGACATAAAGTATGACTATAATTTAATGTTGGTTACAACAGATACATTTCCTCAAAAGAAATGATAGCATTAAAAGCCTTCAACATTAAAATTTCTATTCCAAAGGCACAAAGTCCAAAACCAAAGATTTAGAGCAAATAGGTAATTGCTGCTTTGGAGAGACCATACTGCTTGTGGCTGAGAGCCATGGAGACTTCCCACTACTCTGTCTTCCTATGTACTTGCCTGATGAAATCCTCCTCCAGCCACTACATACCTTATGTCCTCAACAGTTAAACACCAATGAGGAGACACAGAGCTGTATAGAGAGACATACCTGTGTTCCAATGACTATTTGCATAAAATCTATACTAATAGTATCATTATTAAAAATGGGAGCTGAAAATTGCATTGGTGACACTGTACTGAGTCAAGCTACAATTAATTATCTGGTTTGCTTAAAAGTAATCTCCTCGTTTAAGACACACAGCAGCAGGAATCCCAATCAAGGACCCTCATAGCATTTACGGCAACACCACGCCAACCAACATTGTAGTAGCTGGGGGGTGGGGGGGCAGCATGGGAAAGATTGGCCATGGCAAGCTTTAATGATTATGAATTAAAGTTTTTAAAAAGTCATTGGGAACTTGAGAATACATTCCACTGGTTTATACCTGATTTCCCAGGAAGAACTGATAAAAAAAAAATGAAAAATGGAAGAAAGACACAATTAGTTCAACAGGAAACTTTCTATATGACTCTAGAACACACACACATGCATACAATATCTTTCTCTCTCACACTATGGGCTTCTTTCTCACATTATGGGATACAGTGTCTAGTTCAGAAATGTGCAGGGACCCATTTATCCTAACTTCAAACCAAATAATCAGAAAACTTTCTACAAATTGTTTTGAAAATCTTTGGGTTTCAAATTTAAGTTAAAATTCAAATATGGAGATGAACTTTTTTCAAAAATGAAAAACGCTTCATTTCTAAGTAATATACTATTAGGGAAACTCAGCACATTTCCAATCCAGCTACTATGTGAAAGATGTTCCAAAAAACAGAAAAGTTAGAGAAAGAGTGATGAAATCACATTGGTCTTCAAGTAATTGTTTTGAAGGTGAACTGAGTTACTGAGAATTTGAATAAAAGAAAAAATTACTGCACACTTGGAAAACACTGTCTTTTTTATGTTTATAAAAAATGATCCAACATTTTAAATTGTGTGGTTCTAGATTGAAACAGCTTTGTTATTGAAAATCTGAGAACTTACCTTGAATCACAATAAAATATTTTATAAATAATAGAAGCAACCTAAATAAGACATGTGATTCCTTACTTTTATTCTTAAAAGTAATGTACGTGTTGTAAACATCAAAGGTAAGTCATAATACATAAAATGGAGACTAATTAAAAATGACAAATTTCATATACCATTAAATTTGGTGTCAGATAAACATAAATAATTAGCATTCTTGTAAAAATGCTTATCAAATCATATACAAATTTCTATTTTAATCATTAAAAGAAGTGAAAGTTATTTTGAAAACTTACCCTGTATTTGTTATCTCCAATCTGTTCAACTTGAAATCGTTTTGCACATTTACATTTTGCTACTTGCCTTGTCACCTGCCAAAAACAATGATGAAATAGCCACTTTAAAGTTAATATGCTATAGTGGAATCCTTAAAGCCTTAATCTAAAATCTAAACATGGAAATAAATAAAGTGGCTGCATGAACTGCACATGATACCTGGGCAGAACACACTATTATTGTTGTAGGTGATAGAAAGATAATGAGTACCTCATCTTCAATTTTGTCAGCATCAGTGATAGGTTTATACGCGTCTTTATTTGGATGAAGGGCTGCTACAAATTCATAGTAGTCAATATATCCATCACCATCTCTGTCAAAGATATCTGCAACTGCACTCATCTCCAAGCGACTGGTTGGGAACTCTGAGATTTTCAAAACAATAGTAAGTAGTGCTATTGAGGCATAAATGACAAATAATATTTTAATATACTTAAAGTAAACACCATGATGACATGATGTATGTATACATTGTGAATGGATTTCTCCCATCTAGTTCATTAACACACGCATCACCTCACATATTAACCTTTCTTTGTGTATGCTACTCTTTTAGCAAACTTCAAATATACACTACAGTGTTATCAGCTGTAGCCATCATATGTTAGATCTTCAGACCTTACTCATGTTATAGCTGAAAGCTTGTGCCCTTTACCAACCTTTCTTTACTTCCTCCACCTCCCAGCCTCTGGCAACACTGTTTTATTGTTTGTATTTTTTTTTTTTTAATTTAGACTCCACATATAAGTGGTAATTCAGATACCTTTCCTGAGTATGGCATACTCTATATGAAAATTTATAAGGCCTGCTATTTAATGTAAAATTTGACAAAAAAGGATTTGTTTTTAAAAAGAGTGCATATTGAACTTGTTAATTCTGCCACAAGATATTCTTAATTATACTTTTGTGTGGCTAGTTAAGTGATCAGCGTGATCAAATATGTTAAAATAATTTTTAGGGCCTCCCTTGTGGCACAGGGGTTATCAAGTGCTATCAAGCTACTGCCAGCCACTGCAGCATGAGTTCGATCCCCAGCCAGGGAGCTAACCCACATGGTGCAGAAGACTTCTCCTGTCTCTTCTGCTGCTCCCCTCAGCAGTGTATTTCAGTAGATCCACCTGTTCTGCTTCCCACCCTGTCCCTGGTAAATCCTCTCACCCCGTGCACCTCTGACCTACTGCCCAGTTCTTGTATGCATGAACAAATAAAATAAATCTAGAAAAGATAATTTAAAAAACTTATTTACATCATAACAAATCATTATATATGCCACCTAAATTTATTTTTAATTACAATTCAGGTGAATCATATGAAACAGCTATTTTTCTAAGTTAAAAACTGTTTAATATTAGCAAATTTCATATAGTTCAACTACCACTTTACTTAAGGAGTAATTTATACAAAATTTACTTTAACAATGACTTCTAGTACCATCTGTCAAAGAAATCACATGACTGAACCATCCAACCAGGTGACATACATTTTAAGAATTTTAAGGTATTCTAATTTCCTACTATTGATAATGTTAGATCAGAATGTGAATTAGAACTAAAAAGAGTCACTAGCATTTATTTTTCATTATGTGGCAGACAACACAATCCAAGCAGCAAGTATTTTTCATCTTACTATACTAATGAGGACACAGCTTCAGTGGAGGGATGTCCTATATCCATGGTTACACCATTAGTAAATGTGCCTGAATCCAAAGCCACAGTTTTTACCAAGGACACTTTTGTTTTTGAGGGTTGTGACTTTTATAGCCAAAGTTAAAGCCAATGCTTTATTAGAACACAAGTTTACTTGCTCCACAGTTTTAAACAGTGCTTATTTTCTTTAAAAATTACATCAGTTATAGCCACCTCTCTGGGGACTTACTTGAGGAAAGAATTCCATCAATAAATTCTTGTCGAGTTATTTTCCCATCCTGATCTTTATCAATTCTTCTGAAGAAGTCCATCACTCGAGATTTCTTGTGATTCATCCACCGCATGTATTTTTTGCGCCAGATATCAAAATCAAAGTTAGCAAATTCCCTCAGCTGAAAGGGCAAAAGGTATTTCAGTTGAGTTAATGCTTAAATTACATCTTATTCTACATGAAGATTTTTAATGATTTTCTAAACAATACACACATCTTTCCCACTTTAAAAAAAGGAAGGGAATTCAGAAACATTTTCCTATAAAGTTTAAGTTCATTATTGACTGATTTTTCTTTACAGAGGAAACAAAACTCCTCCAAAAGTCCAAGTAAACAAACTTGTAGTGGCAGGTCACAAAGGTGGGCTGCCCCAAAGTACACAGGCCCACTCAAAAGCACTCATCTAATCTCTCAGTGTTCTCTACTCTACTCTCTTAGCTCCTCTAGACATCTAAAAATTTCCCAATTTTCGAATCTGAAATTTTAAATCTCAGATCATCTGAATTACAAATTATTATATTTGCCAGGTAATGCCACCAGCAAACATAATGTCAAGCTGGATCTTTTCTTAAGGAGTCAGATTCTGATTATGTTAAAATATATTTTTGGCTTTGATTCCCCATATCCAAGTCCCATATGTCAGTTTTTTGTTCCCCAGAAGACATACATATTTGTGTTACTAATTTTAGAAATAAAATATGTACACAAATAGCAAGGGTGTACTTATTATCAGAAAAGTTAATAAATCAAGATTTGGGGAATGTGTTATGACGAATATGGACAGATGAAAATAAGGTAATGAATATATGAGTTCTCTAACCTCCTCTAGTCTGTCCAAGGCATCATTAAGCTTCCTCCTCCTTTCCAGTGCGAGGAGCCAGACTTGCTGCCACTTGCTCACCAATAAGTTGACCCTGGGATTCTTGGTTTCAATTTGTGTCTGTGATCCAGAGGGATACAAGCTTGACGCTGGAAAGCGTTTTCCTGTTAAAATATAACTCTCATTAAGATGGCAAAGTTTTCCAGAGTTCTGAAAATATGTTAAGGCTTGACCTTTATTGTTCCTAACTAGAACCAAATCAACTTAAAACTACTGGGTATAAAAGTAAATTCTAATTTAGATGATGTATAATGTTGAGCTCCAAATGTGTTTTACTCATTAAGGTTCATACACTATTCAGAAAAATTAGAGAAACATGTCTTTATTGGAGCATTTAAAAACTGGGGAGTTTTCTCAATGAGTTTATGCTTAAAACAGCTGTCAGCTTAAAACCAGTGTTATTTCAATGACAATGAAGCACCTTTGTGATCCTTCTCTTTGTTAAGGCATGATAAAAGAAATCTCCCAGGGCAGTAAGATGTAGCTCAGACTCAATTACAGCAAACCCAGCTGTCCTTTTTAGAGAGTATGGCTGAATGGAGGGCAGCAGAGGGTGGGAGACAGTGAGTATTCATTAGAGTCAGAGCAAGATATTTCACAAATCCCCAGTTGAATATGGAAGTGTGTGTATGGAATTCCAGCTTTCTTCCGAGTCCATTTTTCACTGAGATTGTGTGTTTCCCATGTGTAATCACATACCCAAACTTAATGCCTTACTGAAGTTTTCTCCATCTTTCTGGCAATTTTTCCCAAATTTCTCAATTGCACAAAAGAATGATCTCAATAATTTTCCTCATCTAATTAAGTAAATAAATGTGACCTAGAGAAATTAGTGGCCTAAGATCATACAAGCTGGGATTTGCCCAGAATTCCTAACCCTCCTCACAGGGCTACAGAGAAATATCAACAGCTAATATTCATTGAGCATTTCTACATGCTTAGAAATATGGCAAGCATTTCAAAGGCTTTAGCTCATTTAATCTTCACTACAAGCCAATGAAATTATAATTATCCCATCTTACAGATGGGGAAATTGAAGCTCAAAGAGTTAAAGTAACTTGTCCAATGCTACATTTTCCAACCAGTGAGGGGTGGGGATGGCCAAGGAGTCTGTCTCCAGAGTTCTTAACATATTTTTACCTTACCTTTCCTTTGTGTTTATCACAGTAACTACTATAGTTGTGGGATCATGTTTGTTTGTTTTTTTATTAAGGTGCCAGTCAGAAATAAAAAAAATGTATTAATATGATATAAATTGTGCTTTTAAAAAAATCTTCGCCAATGGGCCTCCCTGGTGGTGCAAGGAGTTAAACACCGCACTGTGAAGCAATCTGCAGCCTCTGCAGCACAAGTTCAATCCCCGGCCAGGCGGGAACAACCCACATGGCACTGCAGACCTCTCCTGACTCACAGACCTCTCCTGACTTGCCCGCAGCTCCCGTCAGCAGAGTATTTCAGTCAGTCTGCCTTTTCTGTTCCCCGTTCTGTCACTGGTGAATCCTCTCACCCCCCGCATCTCTGGCCTGTACCCCAGCTCTTGTATGCAAAAATAAATAAATCTCAAAAAAAAAAAAATCTTCGCCAAGATAGTTACTATTATGTACAATGTCATTTCATTGGGTTGGGTAACATTTCTATTGCATTCAGCTTTAAGGTTATTTATACAGTAAATGCAAAATAAGACAAATCAAAGGGGGTGATGATTTCTGTTCTTGTAAATTTTTCCAATTACTTCTAGTTAATCTAGAAGATATATTTTAAGCAAATAAAGTGACATATAGCTAAATGAGCTATATCTTTTAATGTTTAATAAATTGATATATTCTTGAACCTATGTATTCTTTCAAGAAACCTTTTATGGTAGAGAGCTCATGTAGAATCAACAATTGCTCTCAGATTTCAAATAAAAAAAAATAAAACTTCCATTCTTATCCATTTGATTTTAAAGAAACTTAGCCACTGCTTACTTCCTGCTCGCCCCTTATCCAAGACTGGAATATGGGACTGTAGTGAAGAAGGATCAGCTGCTCTCCTCTTATAGGTCTTGGTAACTTTATCAACATCAGGCTGTTTTCTGGTCATTTCTTCCATGAAGGTCTTAAATGAAAGAAATAATGTCAATTAAGGATCAGTATACCAGAGAAAACCATCTTTGGACATGAACTAAAAACAAAAGGTTAGAAGAGCCATGCTAGCAATATTATGTCTGAAAATGAATAAATCATTATGTTTTAAGCCCTAGGGGGGAAAAAAACTAAGTCATCATAACATAGCACTGACTCATTTAAAAAAATGCAAATGTTATAGCTGGTAAAGGGAACAAATCAAAAACAAAATAATTTGTTGCAGTGTGAAGACCTTCATGTAGTTGTAAATAATATAACCTATCTGTACACCTAGCAGGACCAAAACTCTTCCTACAGAATCTTAAACTGAGCATTTGTCTGCAAAAATGTTTGTTAACTGGGAAGGTCTCCAGACTTTTCTGTGATACATTTCAACTAAATATTTGAAATATTTAAGATGGCTTTGATATTTAGTGACATAGGGCATCCACATTAAATGTGGATATATTTTAAATATTTCCATCAAAAAAATGTGCTATGCCCAAGAAGGTAGAAATTTTAAAAGGCTTGACTCTTTTGCTATTTCTTATCTTGTCTCCTTGGGTTTATTATTATAGCTGACTAGGTATCCCTACCTCTGGAATATGTGGCAAAGGTAGAGACAAATGAACGTGAAGTAACATTTCTGGACTATTTGTCACATAGTTAGAGAAATCCTCATCACTTTTCTGTCTCTGACCACAGAGAACATGATCTGAGATCATGTTATTATAACAAGGCTCTTATAGAGATGGATATCCTATACTTTTATTAAAACAGCAATGTTAACTGTTTGAATAATGAAGACGACATTTAATGATTCTGTTTGCAAATGTACATTAAACAAAACAACTGGCAAACATGAAAATCAAACTTAGGTGTGAGGCCCATTACATCAGATATTTAAAACAGGTAGCATAGACAGAGGGAGTTTTCCTGAGATGATGATATGTTCCCTTGTAGATAGAATATATCTGAAGTACTGGTGGTCATCTTGGGAGGTGCTTAGCAGAAGACAGTAAAAATGCAAACATAGAACAATAAAACAACATTCCAGTTGAAGCCAGAGAATGAGTGAGTGAGATTGCCAAAAGAGGGAACGAAACGAAAGGAATGGAGAGTTGACATTTACAAAGCAGAGGTTGAGCAAGGAGCCAATCTGAGACAGTGCCACATGAGCATAACTTCAGAGAGGCTGTAAAATAAAGAATTTAAGGAAGTTGACTGAGGGAGAGACAAGACCATCAAAATAAAATAATTGTGAAGAGAGAAGTTTTCCAGCAGTGGTTCCATTAGAAAATCAGTTGAGGAGTGCACTTGAGGAAGTGAAGGTACCAAGAAAGAAAGTTTCTGTGAAGACAGGGTATAGGATTATATTTACTGTACCTGGTGCTCGGCAATGAGGGCTTTCACTTCTTCAATTTCCTGGGGGATGACTTCTTTATCCTTATCAGTAAGTGTAGTTTCAGCCCATTGCAGCCAAGCCAACAAAGCTTCCAACAATTCCTGTTTGGCCCTGAGTCCAGCCAGAGCACTTGCTAATCTCTGTTGATGTTGTTTAGCCCAGGCCAGCACCTGTTGGAGAAACAAACACTTCTCTATATTTCTTCCATTTTAGTGAATATTTTAAGTTGATGTAAAATACACAATTTTAAATGTAAATTAGGATCATCCCAGGCTAGAAAATAATGCTTCTAGTCTTTCTAGACCCTATTATTAACACCAAGGTTCAACTTGTGGAGGTTATGGGAGCCCTGTATAAAGCCTGTCACCTTTGAGGTTGAGAGGTATACCCAAGAGATCAGGTATGCTTACTCTACAAAGCACAGAATGGAAATAAAAGTAGCTGTAAGATATGAAATACAGAATTCATTCACCTCATGCATGCATTTCATTCTCCAAACACATGTTGCTCTGAAATACTGTTCAACTGCTGGACTATTCCACAGCCATACTGTGGAAGATGTACAAGTTATATAAGAGAACCACATAGTCTCCTTTTCTGTTTCAGGGACAGAGCTGTAAAACTCCTTTCACTTTTGAAAGAAAGGTGGATTGCAGAGACCAGTAATACACAGAGGAAAAGTATTTTACAGAAAATTGTTTTGTGCAGAGGCCCCGGGTTCCCACAGCCATGCATGCATCTTTACTGCTGAAGTTTCCCACACCCCCTGACACTCACAGCTACACTGCTCTAAAGATGACCTCAGACACACTGACCTCCTCAAACCTGGCCCTGATGATTGTTATCCAGTGCTTAATGGTGGTGATGGAGTCAGGGTGGCAGATGGCCAAAACAGCATCTCCCATGCTGGTGGCTTTATTTAGTGCAGCTCGTTTTTCTTCCAGTTTTTTCATGAATTCCTACAACAGAAAGAAAGACTTCAATTAGTTGCTGGCACCAGCTGAAAACAAAACTCTGGTGACGTTCATTTGAGCTAAACAAATAAACAAGAATCTCAATTGGCTTATTCACAGCTAGAAATAATTCACTAATTGTGGGATTAAGAGAGAATGGACAACAGTAGGAAATAGTAGTTTCTAATATGTGATTCAAAATACGAGTCTAGGATAATTGGGAGCGACAGTAATATCAGCGATAGAAATTACGTTTAGTGCAAAAAAATTCTAATCAATAAGACAAGGGGCTTAAGTATTTAAAACAGCATTAACTGTGGCAGGAAAGACAGGAATATGTAGCAAAAACTACCAAGGAAGGGCGAAGGCTGGGCTAATAACTATAAATGTTTGGGGGGGTGTATGTGAGTGAGAGGGCCAGATGTCAAGGCAGGAGAGTGGAGGGGAGGCTGGAGGGAGTGGGCCTGACAGCATATTGGCTTGTGGAACTGTCCCTTTCAAAGGTCAACAAAGAGTCACTCTCTGCATTGGCAGGATGAATAAGCACCAGGCTTCCAGAGGCTTTTGAATCAACCTTTCAACAAATGCCTCATATGAATAACTGTCCTTTTAACCTTCAGAACTGTATCCATAAATGCATGTATTATAGAACTCTGAAAGTGTGCTTAAAGAAACAGGGCCTTTGCCTTAAAAAATGTGACGTTTCCAAAACTTCACACTGAATATCAGGCATGCCCAGACATCCCAATCTATCTGGACCCTGCTCTAAAACTGGCAGGATGCTAGGGGCTGCAGACATGGCCGACACTATGCCATACATGCCATGTGACCACGGCGACCATATAAACTACTGATGTTAACTATAATGTCTATTGTACTTCTGTTTTACTCTCTGAGGCGGTTCTGTTACATATTTCCTATGCTGGCATTCTACTGTGTTAAAAGCATTTGTATATATACACATCTAGTAGATTCTAAGGTCCACAAGAGCAAAAGATTGTGTCTTATTATTTTGTGTCTCAGATGAATAAATGCTTTTAATCCTTTTATTTACATATTTACTGCTATGGGGTCAAGGTTCAATTAATAATACATTCTGCTAGCATGACCTACTTTTTAAATACCATGACCTACTTTAAACAATATCTTAATTGCCCCAATATAGGCCCTTTTTAAGTGAAAGGAAAAAAAAAACTTTTACAGGGAAGAGAATATCAGAGGTTATTAACACACGACTTTTTCAAGAAGACAGATGATCTGATCATTTACTACAGTGAGAACTGCTGGACTCTACACCAAGAACAGCTAGAGACCATCTCAGAATGTTGTGGACCAGACTATTAACTATCCCTGTAACATTTTGTGCTTTTCAAAGCCTGTCTCAGTGCTACCTGAGAGATTTATACTTACATGTGAAACTTGCTGTTTTTAGAAAGTGAATTAGACTGAGAAGTATATAATTCTGGGGCTATGAATTAAATATTCTGTTTTTCTTATATTTGTGTGTATTTGAAAGGAAACAGAGGAAATGAAAAGAATAAATAATGTTATGTTACTATAAAGGAGCCCTTAAAAATTATATGTAATCTCATGGTATATAAAATAAAGATATTTTGTTATAAAAACAATTTTTCCTACTCTGAATACTTGTTCTTCTGATACTTCTTGGGGTTTCCTCTCCTGTTGTTAAGGGTGGTGATATACAAGTTGCTACCTTTTTGTAGGGTAGCAGATTTGTACCCTGAACTTGGAGGGGCCACTCTGAGACCAAATCCAGTGTTAGCAGAACTCACTGTCAACTGATGATTGGCCAACAATAAGATTTTCAAAATATTGACTAAATTCAAAAATTGCAGTAAATCTGATGTAATTTTTCTATTCCTACATTCTAACTTTAAATATTATTGGGAACAGTTTAGTACTCCATATGTAATACAAACGCATTATTGTATTGATGAAAAGGCAATATTAAATTGCTATAGGGTAGGCCACCAATCGCTGAGTGAAAAGTCATTAAAATGACACAATAAGACATGTCTTATTATGAAAATTCATGCTACACTAGAATTAATGACGTGTTTTTAACTTTAAAAGATGAGATTATTTAATGGTACTAAACAGATCTTTTAAAGCTAACCAGGAAATTTATTAGGAAATATTGATATCAACACTACATTGAGTGCATTGCAAATTGAGTGCACTGCAAACATTGCAAATTGAGTGCACTGCAAACAGCATTGCAAATTTCTGACTTTTAGAGACAGAGTTTACAAAATATCTGCTAAGTGATCTGGACCCCTCTTTAAAGTATTTTGCTAGCTCTATGCATTGTTATAGGAAAGATCTTCACCTACACACTCAATGATCATATTTTTACCTAGTTAATTCTTTAGTGCTATATCTATGTATACAACTCATTTTAAAATTTATAATTTATACAACGGTTAATTTCTAAAACAGATTTTAAGAAGGTTCTTGATTAAAAACAGGTTTAAAAAAGGTTAAGAAAACATAAGCATAAAAAAACAGGGACTTAAATATAAAATTTGGAGACCAGCTGTTAAATCACTTGCTTGTCTTGCATACAAAGGTTAAAATTATTAATTTACAATTCTAATGGTATACATTTTAAAATGTCAGATTGCTCATTAAGGAAGTTTCATCTTTGAAATGCATAGAAAAGTACAACAAAATTGAACTATTTTGGTCAGACGCCAAATAACTCACTACAAAAATCAATGTGTTTCCAACAGCTAGAAAAACAGTGACTAATTTTAGAATAATCATCTTCTTTACAAAGAAAATATAGGAAAGATAGCTCTGCATAAGTATGTAGGTACCTGGGGACATACCTATGTAAGCAAGGAGGATAAGAACAATTCTCAGACGTATCAAATCTTTAATTACTTTTCAGGAAAGTAAACATTTGCAACCATAAGTGTGGTTTCTCTACTTTGTTTGATTTTATCATTTGTGTCACTTAGCATTTATATAACTCACTTTATGCTGATCAATGAGAGTCCGAAGAGCATCCTCATCATCTGGGAGAACACCATGGAAACGAAGGGTCTGTTCCGCCTCAGCCAGCCATTCCAAGAGGGCATGTACCACCGAGTGAAATTCCTCTGCCTAATAGTTCATACACATGCCCCAAAAAAGATCCCCCAAGATGCTTGTTAGATTTCTCCTCGCAATGAAAAAAAAATTCAATTTAAATTGATTAATGTTATACAATATTTCCATTAAAAAGACATAGATATATGCTGTTACATTTTGCAAATGTGAAAAACCTCTAGTATATCAAAAAGACCTAAATGAAAAATAATTCACCATTTTAATAATCTGATTTTAGATGAATGGCAACCATCATCATACATTCAAGCTGAAAAATTACTTAAGCAGCACTTTCATGTGAAAATTAGAAACCTCCCTCTGAGTATTTTCAATTCCTGGGGGACAGTTAGGAGGAAGGACCAGGGCAGTTTCCTTCTTCATGACTGTCTTGGTCAAGAAATGAAGAGTTTCACACAGTTTTTTATGACAGCAGTCCTTGCTGAGGCTTCAATGCCTTTCTCCCTATATCCAGCTAAAATGTATAGGACTTTACCTGACGCAGAGCTGCTTCTAGCCGTGTTTGCTTTGATATAGAAAGTGCACACACAGTCTCCCAGCGTGTGCTTAATTCCTGCATCTGGACTTTGACCCAGGAGGAGTCATCTCTGCTACCTTCTATGAGTTCTCTGGCTGAGCGCTTCAGGGCCTGCACACTGCTTGTCCTCTTCCCCAGTTCTTTTTGGAAGACCTAAGACAAGCATATTTCTTTAAATTAATTTTCAATTACAAAACCCAAATTGTAAAAAACATTGCTTGAAATATGTATGTGTATATAACCTCATGCACAAATCTCTAAGACCTACAGTTTAATAACCCATATATTCTGCAGAATTTTCAGAGGAACAGTCTTGCATAAATTTTTAAGAACTCAGTCTTATATAAATTCTGCAAATAAGCTAATTTTTAAAATGACACAATGAATTTAAATAATGGTACTTTATTTGATACTTTATATGGCGTTCCCAATTCCTCCCAAATCATTAGTGTGATTGCCAAGTAAGATGGTGGCTACTGCAGTATTCTTAATTAGTAAATATATCTGAGAGACTAGCAGATAACTAAGCAACCCTTAGGTACTTCATGGGGTTCCTAGAAATTAATGGCAGGGAATCACACAGGAGGTTGGCACACAGTCCATTTTTTTCTATAATATGCTTTCATCTTTCACAGCATCCTGAGTGTCAAATTTTAGATACTTAAATCCTTATCTGTCATCTTGAAGGGTTTTTTTTTCTGCCTAGTTTTGACGAACTTAGATATACCAGGAATTAAACTGGCTTTTTTTTATCCACAGACTTAATGCAAGAAACCAGCCCATGGCACTTCATTTCTGATCCAAAAGTGTATATGCAAGTAGATCTTTCAATAACCTTATGTTCAGAATAAAGTTAACTTATTTGTCTAAAAAGTCACTGCATATGAATATTACCAAGTACATTTTATCATTTTATAGTTTTGGCTATATCCAATGGCTTTCTAGTCTGATAGGCAGATACACGTTAATACACAGTGTGGTAAGTTTTTTGTTGATTTTATTCTTTAGTGTTACATGAGATGTGCCTGCAGACAGACTTACACAGACATACCCAAAGGCACACATGCACAAACACATGCATAGAAGGCACAATGTCTAAATAATCTATTTGTGGTAGTATTAATCCAATAATTCTGAGTAGACTTTCCAATGTACTTTGTATACTTAAACTTCTTCATGAGCCTTCCAATTGTATTACTAATGCAGAATGATTAATTTATTCTTGATGACCTTTAATATATGAAAAACCTGGCAAGTGCCTAGGGGAGTAAATATTTAAGACAGTGAGCTTATAAAAATGGTATTTATGTAAAAAGTAACATCACACTATTCATTATTCTTTGAATGAATGCCAGGGAATGGAAAGTTTGTATTAATCACATGCAAAACATTTGTTTCAATACAGGCAAAGAAACCTAATTTTTAAAAATTTTTAATCTTATAGGCCTGATCAATGTTCTTTACATTTTCTTTTACTTTCTCTTAATGTTTAAATGTACCAAGTTCTCTTTAGTGGATATAAGGTAATAGAACCAGAAAAGGGGCAGCAAGTATGTAAAAGGCCATATTTAAAAAGGAACAGGCACAATCAAAACACCATAACCACAGAAGTAGAAAGTGAATATTTTAAAATAAAATAAACTTTCTGTACTCAAAAATTAGAGGAAATACAAGATAAATTCAAACAGTATTATGTTTGTACATAAAGTCAACTCAATACAACTATTCTATACTAGTATTCATGTTCTTTTGATGTTCTTTATGTTGAAATGCAGCATTTGACCCTAATTTAGCATTAACTGGTCATCCCAATTATTACCTTTGATTTGAACAACAGTTTAACATACATATCAGGAAACCATAAGGAAACCATTTTTCTTGAAGAAATAAATCACTTATAGCATGTGCTGTTTTCTTATTAACTACTGCAGTTCAATATGCAATGTTAAAATAGTTCTTAAAAATAGAAAAGCTCAGTGACCACCCTGAGGAAGAAATCCTATATTGTCAAAATGTAAACAAGGATGTAAAGTAATGTTATTTCATTATTTTTTTAAAAAAAGAAAAGTAGCTGACTCCCATAGGTCATGTCACAAATTCACATCCCTATGCAATGACAGAGCTACAGGTCACTGAAAGAATGATTTTAAATTACATTACATACTACTTAAATAAATAACTAAAGATAGTTAAACATTCTTGAAAGCTGTTTTATAGCACCATAAAGTGAATTCACTTTCCAAATTCTAAAATGGTTTTAGATCTGCAAATTAAAAACAAAAGTATCTCATTGATACCTAGTAACATTCATGTTCACTTATAAAGTTGCTTCCTGATTCTGCTCAAATGTACATGTATTTCGCTATGAAAGAATGTTATGCAGTGTGATGTATGTAGCCTCTAGATAAAGGCTAAATTAAGTGCTTATAGATCCCTCTATACTCAGAACAATCAAATGAAATCAAATAAAATGTCCCAGATAAAAATACCTTGTGATTATCGATCAGATTCATCACTAAGTCAATGTCTCCGTGGACAGGCTGGTCTTCTGCCAGCTGGGGTTCAACTCTATATAACCAATCAATGAGGGCCTGTAGGGCATCTGTGAACTGTCCAGAAAATAACAGGGCTTCTTCCAATTTGTTTTGCCTGTAGAAAAACAAGTGAAAAAAACAAACTGAGCAACCAAAAACCACCACCTTATTTTTCTGAACATCTAAAATTTACTTTTGAAGGCTAAGCAGTACTTGAGAAGAAAAAACAATATTTTGGCATTCACTGTTGTTTCTTTATCTTAGAAAATAACAAGGACTTTCTAAAGTTTTCTTTTTTATATTCCTTAAATACTTGACATTGGTTTCAGAATATTTCCCTAATCATCATTTCTGGAAAATACATTGACCCATTACCTTCATCATAAAAATATGCCTTTTTAAATTAATTGCTTTTAAAAAATTATCATACAGTAAACTTTTTGGGGGTATTCAGTTCTATGAATTGTAACATAAGCATAGATTTATGTAACCATCAGCACAACCAAAATACAAAATAGTTCCATCCCCCCAAATCTCCACCATGCAGTCTTTTTATAGTCACAGTCTGCCCCATTTTTAACTCCTGATATTGATCACAGATCCGTTTGCTATTATTGTTGATTTCTCAAGAATGTCATATAAATGAAATCACTTATATGATACTGTAAAAAAAAAAAAAGCATGTTAACATTTTGAAACTGGAGAAACTGGAGAAGTCAAGATTAAAAAATAATACTACAAAAATTTATTGTGGCATATCTGGAACAGAATATAATGTTCTATTTACTCTCAATAGTAACAAAGTAAGGAGACTAAGGATTCATGAAAAATCCAAAAAACATTTATTAGAAAATCAGAATTCTCCTGTTAAACACTTAAAATTTTGAAATAAGTCTTAGGCCTTTGTAATTAGAGTGTAAGGAGGTGCATGGCTGCTGGAAGGGAACACAGGAATCAGGTCAGCAGGACCTTATAAGTCACATTAAGGAATCTATACTTTAGCCCATGCCCAATATTAAGTACCTACAGGTATGAAGTAGAAGAATGACTAGATCCTGTTTATGTTTTAAAATGTAAACCATGTAACAGCCCTGGTAGTTATGTGGAAATCAGATTAAGGACAACAGGCAGACCAGGGGTGTGGGTGGGAACAGGGAAGAGAAAGCAGTTGTGTAGTCAGGTGTGAGAAGACAGAGGCTTGGAGAATGACATCATGTTTTGAGTGAACTGAGTATTAAAAAATAAATAATAATGAAAAGCAAAGTTTTCCCAGTGCAGGTACTATATAAGTAGGATTTTAAAATGGGCAGAAGTTCCCCTCAGGAAAGGAAGTGTGTAAAGTCCCTAAAATTCCCTGCAAAGTACCATGATTGCATGAAGTAACCTAACTACATGAAGGAACATTTTACCTTTCTACAGATTTTCCACAGATAGTATCCCATTTGTCTCTGAGTTCACTCAGCATGTCATCCAGTTTTAGATTGTCATCAGCCAGAGAGGTTTTCTCCTTCAGAGAACGTCCAGTTCTATTAGTGGTATCGTAGACAGAATGCTTGGCACCGAGTGATTTCTGGAATTCCTATATATTTAATATAAGAAGAAAACAATCGCATTTCAAACTAGAGACTTAACAAACAATAAGGTAAGGGCCATTAACAGAGGCATTCCTAATAAGGGGATTTCAAACACTGGAAGCCATCAGAAAATAATAAAACTGGATAGGGTAGAGTACAGTTATAGTCTACACAGGAATGTACCAAAATAGAGAAAAATCTTCAAACTTTCAAATTGTTACCAAGTGTGCCTACAGTATCTACTATAATGAATAAAAAAAAAAATTCAAAGCAAAACAAATCCTGATTCTCTTGTAGGTATAAACCACAAACAGTATGCTTGGTATGATAAATTGGAATCGCTAATAAACTACTGAAAAGTCTAAGAATTTGGACAGGAAAATGTAGCTAACACATAAGTAATTGCTGGTCCAGTATGGACAGAGTGGCTCAGCAATGTACAATTTAGAACTGTTGCCTTTTATTGTCAGATTTATTGTCATATACTTTGAAGATCCACAATAATGTTACATGTAATTTTATTTGTGAAGCAGGGCAAGGGACAAAAAGCCACATCTCTAGATTCCTATGTTTGGACCTGTAACAGGATAATCCCCAAGGAAAGGGGAGGCTCCAGGTTCCCTGTCCCACCCTAAGGAAGGGTGGAGCTATGTAGGGAGGTGAAGCTAGAAAAGACTGTGAAGTGAAGAAGAGGAGAGAGGAAGGCAGAAGGAGGACACAGGAAGACCTGGAAGAGGCACATGGAGCAGAGAGACATAAGAAGAAGCTGCTGTGCTTGCTTCTCAGCCTTGGACTTACACCAAGGACTTGGGGGACATGGAAGAGCCACTGGAAAGAGTCAGAGATGTGGGTAAGAAATCATGGGGAGGCTGTCAATGGCAGCCTTTATTTTGACTTGTATTTTGATTTTGCTCTTTTCCTTTCAGACATGCCTAGCCTCCTCTGCCCCCTTCCCATAGATCCCCACCAGAAGGTGGCTTAGACTTGTGGCAAGCTTTTGGGCCTCAACAGTTCTGCTTTGGGCCAACCCTGTTTGTCTGGGCATTTATTCATGAGTGGACAGAGAACTTTGGGTGTTTCTTGGGGAAACTTTTAACTATTTTCTTTCTCTTTTCTTCTCTTTATGTCACACTAATTATCTCTCTACTGCACACCAACTGAATTAATGTTCTTTTCTATTGAAAATCTTGGGTAGTAGAGTGTTTCATCTTGATACAGTGGGTGGCAGAACCCATTTAGAGCATGCAGATTTCTGATGTACCTCTCATTCTGCTCTGTAACAGACCTACTGCTCATTCTATTTACATCATTTGGGAAGCCTACATCCTTCCTTTCTGCTCTATAAAGCCCTACCAAAATCTCAGAACAAGTGCAGATGAGTGCAGAACAGCTATCCTGCTTTTATGACACATAGCTACATTTCATTTTGTTATTTAACCTTTCAAGCCTATATATGTATGTGTGGACAAGGCAAATTATATTCTTTATACACAACCCCTTATAAGTTTCTATAGAGCAGGGATATTGTCTTTGTAGGTCTCTTTTTATCATCTATTTTGTGAGTGCTTGTAAGTAATAAAAAGAATAACTGCTATTGAATATATAGTCAGGGATGAGGAGAAAGGCCAAATTAATGGGCAAATTACAACCTCATTAAATATCAAAGAAACACTAATACAGTGATTTTCAACCCTGGGAGCACCCCAGATAGTAAAAAAGCTATGCAAATGTATAATTTTCTAAAATATTCTAGAGGTTATAATTATCTAATAAGTTTTTACTGCCTGTAAAAACTCTCCTCTTTACATGTCTTAATATAACTAAGCTATTTTTTTTTGCTTTGTAGGGAATTTTTGCAATTAACATCATTTTTTTGTATTTTTTTTGTAATTATTTCTTTTCATGTTACTCTAAATAGAATGCTAGTTTTTGAATCATGGTATTGATAGAATTTCTTCCCACAAAAGACACTCAATAGTGTCATAGTTGAACACAGGATAGATGAAAACCTTTTAAAGACAAAAAGCATCCAAAATGACAAATAAAAGCACTTCTTTTAAAACTGGTTTAATATACTTTCTATCATCATCTCAGGGAAATGGTGAGTTTGGCAAAAGATCCCACTAGGAAACATGAAGAATCTAACAAGGTTCTCTGCATATTCTTATTTCTTGGAGTCTTAAACTTAAATATGCAATATAATTTCATCATGCTACATGACAGAACATCTGTGTTCAAATACAAATAAGGCATTCTATTTTGAGAAGGATTTTTCCATTCCCCATTTTTCCATCAGAGGAAAAGGAAGGAAGGAAGGTGCTGTCAATGTTAGATGTGGCAGTTCACAGAGGGTAGCAGCAGAACAAGCCATTTATAATACTTAATGTAGCCAAAAGACAGGTGCTCAATATGTTTCCTTCCAACATCCTAGGATCATGACCCAAGGTTAGTTATATCCACCAGTGGAAGCAGCCAACCTGTTCTGTAGATGAAGGCTAGAATTTTCTGATGATGATAAACCTTTTATTGCCACATTTTGTCCAGTCTTTTAAAAAATCACCAGCTTTCACAGCACTATGAAGCTATCCACATCCTCCTGCAGCACAAGTTCAATCCCTGCCCGGCCAGGGAACTACTCACATGGTGTAGCACACCTCTCCTGTCTCTCCCGCTGCTCCCCTCAGCAGTGTATTTCAGTCAGTCTGCCTGTTCTGTTCCCCACTCTGTCTCTGATGAATCCTCTCACCCCCTACAACTCTGGCCTGTACCTCAGTTCTTGTATTATAAATAAATAAATCTTTTTAAAAAATTACCAGCTTTCATATAATGATTTATATGTAGATGCCTAAAATTGTGGTAGTATTTGCAGGAATCACTCTCCTTTTACCCACGTCATTATTACCTTGACAGTTGATGATCACTTTATAAATAGAATGATAACAAGATTCAAATTTGAAAGATGGGAGGATGGGTGTGGAGAGATGCACTTTGAATATTGTATGGTAAGAAAATAAAAAGCAAAAAATATAAAAAACAATGTTCCTACATCTTCAACACAAGGAAGCCACTGACGTGTCTTTGAGGGTAGGGTTGGATGTCACATACTGCACTTAGGCAATAAATACCAATTTAAATAGGGGCACCCAATTTTCCCCCACCAACTGTTTAAAAGAATCTATAAGGCAAAAAACTATTTTTACTCTAGAATTATCTTCTGGCTAGCATTTGATCTGTGAAAGAAATTATAAAACAGTAGTTGTGAAGAGGTGAAATGCCAATGATTGAGTATAAATCCTTTGTATGTGTTAAACTGCAAAAGATTCATAGATTTCATTTTGGATGCATTCTTTTAACAATTGGCCCCAAATCATAATGGAATGGCCACTGGAGACTAAAGATACTACTGATACGTGACCGATGTGAATGGCCATTGGTTTTAAATTTAATATAGGGCCACATTCAAGCTTTTTTTCTCTAGTGATGAGTAATTACACAATCAAGTAAGAGTTTAAATGACCTCAAGGTAGATAATGTGACAATATGCTTAATCGTAGACTCACCTTATGCTGAGCAAGTTGTGTTTTTATTTTGTCTGGATCATTGGCAATTTCCAGTTCAGAATCCAAAGACTTTTCTGACTCCTCTAGCCACTCCATAAGTTTACTCCAAGCTTCATGGAACTATAAAAGAAATTCACATCTTTGTTCAGGAAATGTTCAGGTATACTGTGTTTGAAATCTAGCATGTTTTCAAAACAGAAATAATATTAACAGAAATAATGGAAATGAATTCAAAACTTTCCCTTCTTCTTTAAAGAAGAAGAAACAGTGTAACATTTTCATCAACAGATTATAAAATGTCTTGTTGATAGCTTGACTTTTGTGGTTGTGCTCCATAGTCATTTTGTAATAATTCATTCAAAAACATAAAAAAAAACTTTAACAACAACAAAAACAACAACAAAAAACAAAAACAGAAATGAGCATAAAAGCAGCTAGGGAGCACCAGGGAGAACTTTCTTCCTATTCTTTTCTGTAATGTTAACTCTTCAGTGAAATTTGTTTGCCCTATGCTGTCTCTTAACAGATCTATGGTGTTCAGTCCCTATGTTAAGAAAAAAGGAATTAAAAGGGAGCAGGGAGAAAGATAAAATTTGTAAATAGGTTTGAAAAAGTAACAAGAACCAAAAGAGGCCACATTATTCCTATTTAATACTAAATAGATCAATATCTTTACTGGTGCTTTCAGAATCCTCAAATTAATTCCTGTGCCTTACATATTGACTTACATATTGCCTTACATATATAATATTTGAGCTTTAGCAAAATATAATTCTCTTTGGCATCTATGACTTAAAATATTCTGGTGCCATATATATATATATATATATAATATATGTATGTATATATAAATAAATCTACCTTCCCAAAATGATGGAATCTAATTCCAGTGATAGAAAAATACAATTGAATGGGGCAAGAAGAGTCATTATAAATTTCAGCCTTCAACCACAGCCTCTTTTCTATTTATCATAGAGAACTAGTGGGTACTATTTTTGGGTATCAAATTGTGAAATAGGGTATAAATTATTTCTCATAACAATCTTCAGTGAACAAATACATAACAAAAACTTAAGCTATCAAAATAAAATGTTTTATATCAGAGCACATTAAAAATGAAATAACAAAAATACATTTAGCAACAAGAGCACAGTCACAGCACAGAATCACAAAGCTGCACAGTCCATTAGAGTCATCTCATCACAACCAGCTCTCCCTACACATCCCTGCCTTAGTTCTACTCCATCTGCACCTGAAAACATGGAGGTTAGAATAGGCACAGAAATTGTTGAAGTCAGAGAACTGTGAACATCATCTGAGGTAAAAAATGAAATATTACAATAAGGCATGAATTTAGGAAAAAACAGCTAGTCAACATTATGCAGTCTTATTACAAATAATACAGGCTTTAACAGCTTGATGGCTAAGGTCAGTAACCGGATAGTTCTAACTCCATCCCCACTTTCAAAAGTATTTTTATACCATGTAAATAGAGGAAATACTATAATTTTACACTAAAATAATATAAAACCATTACAAAAGTTCACTGGAAAAGGAGAAAATAAAATTGTTTAAATGAGGAAAATAGGAAGAGGGTTGGCAACCGGCTACTGGCATCCAAGATATTATACAAATCAGTTATTGTAACTCAAGAAATATCTATCCTACAGAGGGCACTGCTACATATGTGGGGAGAAATACATAGCATTAACACAGTGCTAAGCAAAAGGTAGCAATATGGTAAAGTATGACTTTTCACTCAGTATCAGCGTAGAGGCTGAAAGGACAAAGACAAAATAGACTACATAACCAAAATTCTGGTCTCTTTTTGGTCCTTAATTATAATGGTTTATTTATGAAATCAAGCTATAATCAGTCTTTTCAAGATTAGACTCCAGGGCCTGGGGTTGTTGACAGGTCAACAAGTGATGTCATCATGCAAACTTAGGCCACAGACCTTTCAGGAAATAAAAGCAATGGCTTCATGCCATAATTGCTATACCAAATACAGTCTGCAATAAAAGTACTTTAATACATAATACATATTTCAACAGCTAGAGCTGCCAAATTCAGAAAACTCTGTTTACCTGTTTGGCCCTCTTCCTTGCATCATCCAAAGATCTTCCTCTTTCTACTAACCGTTGAACCACTTTTTCCCATCGACTCTGCACACTGATCAGTAGATTCTTAATTAGGACAACATCTTGTTTCTGACTAAAATATTTCAGGTGGGTTCCAGTTTTGTCCAGTTCTATTATTTGCTCACGGTGAGAATTCACTTCATTGGCAAAGACCTTTCCACAAAAAAAAAAAAGGGTTATAATTAGAAACAAATGAAAAACTGATCTATCTTGAAAATGCCTTGTGTCATAAGCTGAAACTGTTTTCAAAGGACCAAAGAAAGTTTCAAATTACCAAATTCATGTTTTCAACATTAAGACAGTCTGTTGTCTAAAAAGGTCTGAAATGAGAATGCTATCCATGTGAGTCACACATACCTTATGTTCATCGATTTGAAATAAGACTGTGTCCAAGATAAGACTTGGCCGAGAAGCAACATTTAGGGTCTGTTCAGCCTGTGTAAGCCAGTTGATAAAGTCTTGGAGAGAATTGTGGAACTCCATTGCCAAGTTGAGGGCCTCTTCCAGTTTAGTCTGCAAAGAGAGATTATTTTGTATTTGATGATATTTAAGGTTCCCCTTGCCCCCTTTAACTACCCTGGAAGGGTTCCTTTCCATTTATATTTATGCAAAATCTATATTACCTAACAGTTTATGAATGTAAAAGGTCTTCACTCACATACTGACAAACCAAACCCATTTAATTATAGAAAGAAGCATTTCATTGCAAATAAAACATTTTATTATGCAGTTCAACCATGTTTTGGAAGCAATTAATCACAGAACACAATTACTAAGAATCTGCAAAAAGAAAACCTGATATTTGCATGATTAATTTGGGGGGTTAAATATGAAACATACATTATGCTCTGTCAGTGATGGCCTATAATCAAGTATTGCTAATCTCTCATTCTTCTTATAGTATTAAACAATAATACTTAAGATCTCTTAGATTGCCATCCCTATGCTTTTTAAAAAGTGGCAAAATGAAAAATATTTTCCTGAGATTTTAACCCCTTATCATGGATTTGTTAGGTAAGTCCTAATAAAAATACAATCATCTTACTCATTTATCTCTTCCTCCCATGCCCCTCCAACCTACATAGAGAGCCCTTTGCTTAATAAATGTGATTAGAACGGATAACGACCCACAATTCATCATTTATAGATTTAAAAATACACCTAGTAAAACTTGATCAATAATATACCTTCATCTACATTCGAGTAGATTCCTTTAATTCTGTTCTCCTGTGTTAAGACAGAGTATTATTTTCAACTCACCCATGAAATCTCTAAAAGTATATTGAGAAAATTTACATATAGATCTTAAAAGTTCTGCTGATAATTCTATTCAGGTAACAATAAAAACTATGAAATAAAAACACCTAAAACATTTATTCATCCAATTACATTCATCAAGGCACATACTTTCCTTTCATTGAGTTTGGTTTCCACTGATTCCCATTTTTCTTTCAAATTATTTAAGTCTTGGTCAATATTTGTCTCTGCAGATTTGGGGCATCTTGCAAGCATCTGCTGGCCTTTCTGCATCAGACTCTTGTACGTTTCTTCTTTAACATCAAAGGCAGCACAGATTTCCTATATTGAATATCACCCCAAGTTAAAGTATGTTTATAAGAATAAAATCTAAAAGCTCTGTTTTTTCAAGTTCAACCCCAAGTCTCTTTTCATATATAGCAAGGGAACAGAGTAATGGTGACACAATTAATCTTTTCAATATATTAAAACACTTAAAACCTATAGTCATACCCTGTCTACTGAGAAATTTCAGAAATGGTGTTATCATTATCAATCTAATTCAGTACGCCAAAGTTTCTGAAACAATATTTTACATGTTGTCAAGAAAGATTTCACTGTACAGTATCCAATCACAACTCTGTGCCCTTGGGCAAGTAATCTAATCTCCCCAATCCTCAATTTCCTCCTCTGTAAAATAAGGGGCTCTGTGAATCTGTCCTTGGACTGTAATATTTTATTGGCATAATTTCATTCTGTGCTTGGAAGACATACAGTGGGTAAAAAGTTAAGACAATGAACAGTAAGAGATTTAAGGCCATTATTTAGACTCCAACACCAAAAATACCAGTATTTCTAGCACTTACACATAATGATTTCTGCTGTAAGTGTTCATCCTTTAAACCACCTCCCACAACTTACGTTTATCACCAGTACCCACCCCCAACAGTCAGTCTCTTAAAGGAGGCTAGAGTTGTAGGAAATGACGGACATACCATGTGGGCATTAAGCTGCTCCCTGGCTGTTTCTGGTAATCCTCCCAGAGGTTTGGATGCTAACAGATGACGCTCCGTGTCAGTTAACCACTGCTGCAAATCCTCAATTTCTCCATGGAACCCTTTGGCCTGGAGGGATTGAGAGTTTTAAATTTGGCCATAAACACTGTCACTTTCAAGCAGAAAACAAGGTTCAAACAATCCCAGTCTGTTAAGCCTCTGGATTTTCCTTGCCTGTCTCCATCAGGTGAGCTCTAGCAGATAAGACTATCACACTAAGAACTAGAGAGCTGCATTCTTGTCTGCTCTATTCTCTAGCCCACTTATCTTCACTCCTCTCCTTCAGATACAAAGAGTAAAACAGGATCTGCAAACCAATGAAAAAATTTTATGCTCTTTTGCTTCTGAAGGCTATAGAAAGATTCAAAATTGATTCTCTTATTCACCTGGCGCAAGGCACTATCCAGCTGCTGCTTCCTTTGCTCTGTTTTTTCCAAAACATTTTGCCAGCGTTGGTTTAAAACCTCTAGCTTGTTCTGAAGGTTGCTTGCTTCTTCTCCTGCACTTGATTCAATTAGATCATTTCCTGCTTTATTAACAGCTTCCACTGTAGTCTGATGAGCTAATACATCATTTTGGAGCACCTAAAAATATTAAGATAACACTGTGTTTGCTGTTTCAGAACATGTTAACATTGTTTTCAATGCAACAGTTTTATTTCCTGGTTATGAAACACTCTGAAACAAAAACATCATATACATAGAATATTAATACCAGTTAAGTTTTAAATCAAGGACATTTCCATAACTCTGCAGGTTTGCTGGATATATCTTCAGTTTACCAGTAATCCCTGAAATGATTATCTTGCTAGTTTTTACCATTAGACTAACTTTCTGATGGCAATATCTAGATAATTAAAAAGGCTGTAAAATTTTTCATTTACTTCACACTCATCTTAATTGAACTTCAGTTTCACGTATCCATTGACCAATTCAAAGGTTTTTTATTTTTATATATTTATCAAATATTAAATTATTATATTTCTAGATATGTGGAGTCATATATTTACAAAGAGTACTCTGAAAGGGAAGGAAAATATCATGGAATATTACTTTATCTTCACTCGTTGGAAAAGTGCTAAAATTAACTGCTAAGTTGACAGGAATCCTGGGAGGCCCTAGGACTAAAGAGAGTGTCAGGGATAATCAAACCATGTATTACAAAATTTAATTGTTATTTTACTAGAAAATACATACAGAAAATGCTCACTACAGATCCCAGTAAATAATGCCTTCCTCTTACTTAGTGCAAATATAAGAATAGATTAATAACACTTTAGATAAACTAACACAAGGCAAGAGTGTAACAACAGAGATCAACCACAAGCCAAAAAAAAAAATATATCTATTTCTTATAGTGAAAAGAAGTGCACCCTAAAGGACAAATAAAAGTAAAGTCACAGTGTCCTTTCAAGAAGACTTGTTACATTTTTGGAAACCAGAAGAAACTTTCCTCTAACATTATTAAGAGCTGGTGACAATCCTTCTCTACACTCACTGACTCAGGGCTGACAATAGGAAAGGAGAGGAATGTCATTTTTCATCCTCTATGTAAGACACTCCACATCTGGAAGGAAATTCAGACCAGGGTAGATATTCACGGAAGAGCACTAGCCATCTGTGATCACTGTTTCTTTGACTGTGTTCACTCATCTTTTGAGGCATCTGGTGAAGGAGTGCATTTCAAAGGTTATAAAATCAACTGAGTAGAGAGTGCTATCTTTATAAAAATCATGTACTTTGATATGTGAACAGTAGGAATCACTTTCAAAAGGCAGGAGTTCAGCATTCTTGTGCTCAAAATGTAAACGATAAATCTATAAAATTCATTCTTCTAAAAGGTCAGAATCCTGTTACGTAAGGCAAAGCCCAGGAGCCAGAGTAGAAAGCAGGAGAGAAGGATGGAAATTATTCCCCCCTCCTTGTTCTAGCAACAGAGCTGGAAATTCTAAGTCCTTTGAATTTTTGACCTTTGAGAACTAGAAGAAGAAAGAAGTCATTCCTAATGGTTCAGAATAAAAGAACAGAAATCAAAAGTCACTACTCTCCAAATCCAGCTAAAATAACTGGATCAGGACATCGTTTTCCTGCCTCACTGGTTCCTTTTACTGCTCGAAGGTTCCTGTTACTGACATAGGTATCACAGATGACAACTGCTCAGTTTATAAAACTCTAAATGCTATGAACTCATTCTATGAGAATAAACATTTCGTTTCTATGTAGTCAGTCTGACTAATTATTATTGCTCTTAGTAAAGGTGCAATTTAAACACTAAATTGTAAAAAAATATTAATGATACAAACCAGGACTTAATTGCTTAATCATATGTGGTTGGGAAATGACTACAGAACTATAGACAGAACCACACAAATAAAAAAATAGAATAAGAAGAAAATTTTAAATTAGGGAACAATTACTGTGGGGAAAAAGCATGAGGGGAGAACTAAAGCAAGAATATTAAAAAATTATATATTATGATTTTAAAATGTAAACACCCTTTATTTTAAAGTGCTAATAAACATGTTAAATAATCAAAAGTTTTCAATTTGATAATGAGGAAAGACATATTTAAGGTTAGGATCTAGGATATGACTTTCAATAAGACACCATTACTAATGTTTAATTTAGAACTATATGACTTTAAATAAGACATCATAACTAATGTGTTTTTAGAACTATACTATCTTAAGTATAGTGACGAGACAGAATTTTTCATGAAGAATTGTAAATGAAGTGTCACAAAGATGATATAAAATTGTTTTGCACGTATATCTTAAGACAAAAATTTTCAATTTAGAAGTTTTAAATCAAGTGCAGGACACATAAAAACTTTTAAATATAACACATATTTAAAGACACTAATTCAGAAAGAAAGGCCAGGACACAAAAAGTCAGTGAAATGTAAGAGACAGAGACAAAAGCACAAATCCCAACATAATTGAGAAGTACAGGAAGATAGAAATATACTAGACATGCCAAACAGTAGCAAATCCAGGAGACACGCGCGCACACACACACACACACAAACACAGAGCCTGCAATGCAGCAGGATTTTGAGCCTATGAGTTTATGCTATTCCAACAACTTTTTAAAAAAGTATTGAAATAACATTGGTTTATAATTATTATGTAGGTTACAAGTATTATATTTGGACATTTGTATATACTGTATTAAGATGTTGATGAAGAGGTGGGAAAAGGAAACCCTTGTACAGGGCTGGTGGGATTGTAAACTGTTGCAATCACTAAGGAAAACCACATGGAGACTCTTCCAAAAATTAAGAACAGAAATACTGTGTGATCCAGATATTGCATTCTGGTTATTTATCTGAAGATAAATATTTAAAAATACATATATATGTGCTACTATTGTTTATTATCTTGCAATAGCCAATTTGGAAAATCATGTCGACAGATGAATGGATAAAGAAATTGAGGTCTGTATACACAAAGGAATACCACTACCACTCAGCTATCTTCCAAAAAAATATATGAAATCCCGACAGCTGTTAAAATTGAGTATGTTAATTGAATGGCAGAATCACAGGCTTAAATTTTTAATGTTTTCCATTCAGCCCTAATAAAATTTAATGAAAAGTTTCTCATTTTTGATGTTTTTAATAGTGACAGTCTTGAGCAAAGAGAAAAATATTTAGAATATAATCTTTAGAAGAGTAGCTTTAAGTAATTTAACCTACAGTTATAGATGTTAAATATAAATGTGTGCTAAAATCATCAACTTGAAAAATGCATAAAAAAGAAACAGACAAAAATTTTTGATGATACTATAGAGAAGAAACATAATATGCAGTAACAGATACATACATGATGCTTGGCAAGTTCTATTTCAATGGCTTTAGGGTCTCCTCCAACAGGCTTCTGTTCATTTAGCAAGCCCTCAGTGTGTGTCAGCCATGCCAGCAGCTCATCCAGAGCATGCTGGAACTGCCCCAGTGCCAACAGAGCACCCTCCAGCTTATGCTACAGAAAAAGTGGTGAGAGAGAAGTCCATTTAAGTCCATATTATGAGTGGCCTACATTCATAAAGCAAAAGCAAAAAAAAACAAAAACAATTGTTTCATATTGTGTAAGTCTACAAGCATATCCAATGAAGCCTAATCATATTCTTCCATATTTTAATTTTCAGATTTTTATGGGTTAAAAAACACCATATGAGAAGAAGATTTATAAGTGAGTTTAGGGGCTTCCAAAGTTTGTGTACATAATTGCCTAGTTTTACTTTTTAATAATTATTTTACATCAATATGTGAAATCAAAATATTCTAATTTCTTAACAGAACTCTTATTACCTGTCTGTTGATAATTCGCTCATCTAAACTATCCCATATCAATTTCAATTCCATTAATGGGTCTTGAACAGTCTGTTTGTCAGCCTCTTCTGTCACTTTCTTCAACAAAAGTTCTGCTTGATGGTTTAGTCTTTCCATTTCTATCTGTTGTTGATAAGCTTCAGACTTAAATTGCTATTTATAAAAAAAGATAAAATAAGGAAATTTTTTGTTTGAATTAGTGACTTTAAACAAAATAATTCTATGGAACTCTTTATTCTAATGTATACTTCCTTTTGGGTGGGGGTTGAAGAGGGTGAAGAGAAAAAAGTATCTAACAAAGGGTCTACCAATAAAAGAATAATAGATAAAAGATAAGGAAGATCTTTTTTCTTTATTTAGTGTTTTCTGATGAAACAATGCTTCTATTTATAATTTTGATATTTTACCTTTATTCTCTATAATAAAAAATTAACAAACTTCAAGGCTGAAGTTATTCCAATATCAAATTATATTTAATAAATGAGTTTTGAAATTATAGGAAAGAAAAAAATACATAGTGACATTTATGAAACCCAGAAAAAAAACTCTAAGAATTCAATATTTCCCTCTCAAAAACATACACCCATCTTGCAGCCAGTCAACATTTTATCTTTTCTGTAGCTGTGCTTTGTTCATTAATATTTAACTCTTTTTATGCCTCACCCACTGCTGACTCAGAGTCCAATTATTCTCTGCTTGTACTTTTTTACTGATAGTTACTGATATATAATAATTTTGGTTTTGCTAACAAACACAGGCAATAAGTGGTTACTTATAATAGAAAACTGTCCTGTCATAAAATATTTATTTTAATTTGCTAAAGCAAATAATTAAATAGTAAATAATTAGTGGTTAAATAGTCCATTTTTCAAATATACGGAAAGAATAATTAAAAAATAATAACTAAGGTATAGCGACACTTGCTATGTTCAAGCCACTTTCAACAACTGATAAAGAAAATGATTGTATCCTCAATTTAATCTATGGACACACAAGTGAGACCAGTTAGAAAAATTTCCTGAGATATGGCTTGTAAGTGGATAAATAGGGAAATAATCTCAAACAACCTGACTTCAGAGAATGCACTCTTAACCAGCCTGCACTATGACAACACAGATAAATGAAAATGTCCAAAATAAAATCTCCTCCACACCTGTAATTTTACATAAAATATATCATGTTTTCACTACACAATCAGAAGAAGTAAAAATAAAATTGATGCTAATAATAAATTTTCAAAAAGAATTTTTTTTCTAAACAAAACATTCTATATCACTCTTGGAGATGAAAATACTCTAATTTTAAAGCCAGATAAAAATCTGGAAGAATTCATTGAAAATGATGTGATGCCACTATGGATGGAGAATTAAAATTAGGAAGGAAATAGCTGATCTCACTTCAATAAGTGGTCCTCAGTAGAGAAATTCAAAGAGGAAACAGTCCAGCCATTTTCACAGCTGGATATCAAGAATCATGAAAGAAAAAATTATAGAGGAAAGCAGATGGAAAACAACAAACATTTATAAAATAAGCATTTTTGGGAAACCCTTTCATGCCATAGATGCTTCTTTAGCCTGTTAGACTAAATGATCAACTTTGTAAACTCTGAAGAAAATAAAATCATTGCTGTATGTACACTGGTAACAATAATATACTCCAGAATAAAAAGTTATAAAAACCCTTAAAGTATAATCTACATTTGTATAAAATACACATAAACACAAATATATTCAGACATCTCATAATCTATCCTGCTCCTAAAAATGAGAATATCCAAAAGGTTATAAATTAAGAGTGGTTGTCTCTGGGTATGTAACAATTGGGGTGGCTTAAAAAAAAGCCACATTTTTGTTTATTTGTATTTTCTGAGTTTTTGTAATGAACAGGGGTTGGATTAATTAAAAAAAGTACTAGTATTTGATATCCTTTATTTAATGAGCATTATATTACTACTTTTATGTGTAGGTATAATATTAATTTTGTAATCAAAATGTAATGCTTCACTTATGTAAAATAAATAAATTTGCATAAAGAATCTCATGAATCAAAAATTTTAAAATGCAAAATCTTGAATAAATTCTTGAGCTCCACCCATACCTTTAGTTCTTCAATCTGCTGCTTGACAGTTTCAAGATCTGTTCCGATTGGAGACATTGAAGCTAATTTACCACCTGCAATATCTACCCAGTCGAAAATTGCCTGAAAAACACATTAGTCCATGTGTTATTATAAAAGTGCATTTGGAATGTTGGATCTTGATTGTTATAGGAAAGTACAGCCATATATTTACAAAGATATTATGGAATAAGCTCTTCTTTGGTTCACTGACATAAGTAAAAACAATGTACTGAAATAGTTGTCCCAAACACGAAATAGATATAATGTCTAATTCTGCATCCAAGTTTGCAAAAGATATTTTTTCCCAAAAGAATTTAGAATATTAAGAACATTTTTCAAAACTCTACTTGAAAGAATAGTTTTATAAATTCAATCAGATGAAATAAAATACTCTGTGCTTTCTTATGTCTGCCTAAAAGGCAGAATACATTGATAGAGAAAGATTCATATCTATTTGTTTTTTTCGAATAAACAAGAAATATTGTTTAGCACTTGAGCAAAATACTTAGCTTAACTAAACCCTTAACATATTCCTTAAAAATCTTCCTTTAAAATCTTGCACCTATAATGTTAATATTAAGAACATTATTCTGAACTGGAATACAATCGTCAGACTCTGTTTTTCTTGTTCATTTTATATAAACATTGTAAAATATGGTTTAATTCACCCTTTTTTTGGACAATGAAAATGCAAAATTGCTTTTCACTTTAATAAAATTGCCAGACCATATAGTAGGAAAAAAAATGTTAGAAAATACCCATTTTTAAATTATCAAAAATAAACCCCAAGAACTTAACGCCACAACTTGAGAAATAAAATTTATTTTAATTCAGTCATACCTTTGAAACCTCTCAAGAGATTCTGAAGTATTCAACATGTAGGAACAGCTAGTACCTTTATTTTTCTTTTTTAAGATTTATTTATTTATGCATACAAGAGCTGGGGTACAGGCCAGATGTGGGGCGGGGGAGGTGGTAAGAGGATTCACCAGAGGCAGAGTGGGGAACAGAACAGGCAGAATGACTGAAATACACTGCTGAGGGGAGCAGCAAGTGAGTCAGGAGAGGTCTGCTGCACAATGTGGGTTAGCTCCCTAGCCGGGAATTGAATTCATGCTCCAGAGGCTGTGGACAGCTTCACAGGTTGCATCTCAACCCCTTGCACCACCAGGGAGGCCCAACAGCTAGTAACTTTTAATAAATCAAGTTGCCTTTCATTACTACAGGTGATGCTACTAGCCCATACCGACAGGACCTACAATGGGCCTTGTTCTGAACAATGGCAAGAAGATTACACAAGCCACAATATTTACTCTGTGACCTCCTGTGCTAATAGCCCCTGATGTCAAATGGCTGCAAGTAGTGGCAGTGCCACCTTCAGCCATGGAAGAGGGAACAACTCTATGACATTCCAAAGGTATGTGAAATTCATGACCTGGTTTCACAGACTAAGGGAGCTTGATTAGTTACTGTCCATCAATCCCTGTCCAATAAATTACCACTTTGCTTAAAAATGGGTGCGGAGGGATTATAATAAGCTATTATTTGTAGTGAGTTTTTTTTTTTCATATAGTTCTGAAGTACAAAACATTTTTCAGCTGGCATAAAGCAGGGCTTGTGATATTTATTTTACAAATACAGAAATGGAGTGGCATAATAAAAAGGAAAAGATGTTCTCATCTAAGTTTTAAAAATAATATACACTTGGTGTTATGGAAATACTTAGGAAGGTTTTTTCCATATGCTAGGAAGGATGAAAGGTTAAAATCTTGCCAAGCTGTTAGGAAATGGAATAAAGTTAAGGATGGTAGGGAAAGAAATATCCCTGAGTTGGCCTCAAATGACAAGAGAATTTTTAATACTGAAAAGAAAAGAAAGTTAAAAAACTTGTTAGGTAACTGAACGAGAATGCTTAAAGGATGGGAAGAACAGCTATTAAATGAATTTTTATGTGGAAAAGAAGAAAATACTTTTTACGCAACAGATTATGATTAATAAAATAAAAATCTATTTTAGTTCGTGGAGAACACTGGCTTCAAATCAAATTTCTTTACTTCTGACTTGAGTTAAACTTGGTGATATTTTTAGGTAGTGTTTACTCCTTTCATCTTATTCCACTCAACTTTAGAACAGAACTCAGATTCAGTTCCATGTCACTGTCTGGTGTTGAGCCATTTATGAAAAATACTGTGTGGGAACATTTACTTTCACTTAAAAAAACAAAAATATTTCTTTTCAAAATAAATTTCACTGAATGTGTATATAAGGTATGTTTGGAGCTATATGTAAATTTCAAGTGTCAGAAATATCATCTACAAAGCTAAACGTGGATAGATAAAGCAACTGCAGGCACAGATTTGCTAGCAACTGCATACTCACTTGCAGCCCTGGGGTGGTGCCAATGTGTAAATTTGTAGAAATCAATTAGCATGATTCCTCCTGCCAGTCAGACCAGCAGCCGCTTACCTGCAGTCCATCCTGGTACTGAACAGCTGCTTGCATGGCCTCCTCAAGTTTGTCCACCCGATCTTTCCAAGATTTATTTAGAGAATCCCATGCTGAATTTAACTACAATATAAAGATTAGAAGAACTCTTAGTGTTATGTGTCCAGTTTTCAACTAAGTCTATCAAATATACTAAGTTTAACAACATCTTTATAAAAACTATTCTATAAAAAGTATGGTAGTTTGTACCTCATCTATGCTCTTCTTGACAATGGGTTTATCAGGTTCCCCGCAGGCAGCGATGAGTTCAGAACCCAGGTTAATAACTATATCCAGCTCTTCCTGTAGTCCATCTATTTCTTCCCTTATAGCCTAGAATAAGAAATGGCAGCTTTAGAGTTCTAAGCAAACCCACATTGAAACTAAGAAGATCATATAAAGATTATTAATAGTCATTATTTTTAGGAGGCAGATTAGATAATTTTTTTATTTTCTTCTTTCTGTTTCCTAATTTTCTGCAATAATTCTTTTTCAATATGAAAAAGGAACAGAAGATAAATTAAAAACAAAACTATACCCTTTGAATAACAAATGTCAAGTTTGTATTATCAAGACAATATTTAAGAAATATCTCTGATAGAACAAATATCAGAACAAGTTTTTTCTTTATTTTTCTAATATCACATACTGAAAAGCACAGAAAGACATTTTGTTTTTCAAACCAACTAGTTTGGCAATATACACTTAAAATAGACATAAGTAAAATATGAGTTTAAAGACTTGACACAATTAATATTCACTTGTTGAGTTAGCATGATGTTGCTCTGGATTTACATTTTATAGCATTAGCTTAGGACTTTTGAACTACAGAATACTATGACAAAATCCAATATTTTACCTTTGCTATTACCTTCTTGAGTTAAATATGTTTTACTCATTCAAGAAACATTTGACAAGCATAAATCAAGCTCCTAACAAGGTTTTGGGGGCAACACACACACACACACACACACACACACACACAAAATAGTCATGGTTATTTCAATGAATGAGTTCTAAGTCCATTTAAAGACAGAGGTACAACCAATGATAAGCCAAGCTATGCATCTAGTCGCCTGCATGAGGAAAGTATTATGAGAACACACAGAGACTAACTCTGTTAAGTATATAAGATTCTACATGGAGGTTAACAATCCAACTGAACCTTGAAGATTGAGTAGGATGTGCCAGAAAAGTAGCAGGGAAAACATCCAGGGTGAGGAAATAAAATGGGTAAACGCACAGATGCTTGGAAGAACAGAGAAAATTTAGAGGAAGACCACTTTTTAATTACTAAAATAGAAGGCAAAGGATCAGTAGGGGGAAAAAATGGCTTTGGAATCATGGGCTAGGCTAGATACTCTGTTCTATGGAGTTTGGACTGCATGTAGCAGGCAGTGGATGCCCTTAGGGTGGTTCAGCAGCAATACAATTAGAGCAGAGCCAGAGAGACAAGTGATGGCAAGGTTTGAAGGATGCCAAAGAGATTCTGCAAGTAGGAGTATCACTTTGGATTACTTTAGGAGCCAGAGAAAGAAAGAGAGAGGGGCATGGGAGGAGGGCCCTGACATAAGGCAGATGCAGTAGAGATGGAAAGAATCTTTTAAAAAATGAACTAAGTGAAATGTGGGCATACAATATCTCTTACTACATCCCCCTGCATTCCACTTTCAGACCTAAATATAAATTTTAATAGAGTAATTCTGAATGTTTATCAAAGACATTCTGGTTTCATTATAATTATACAACTTATTTTTTAACTTCAAAAGAGATTTTCTACTTACTTCTGCTGCCTCTTGCTGTTGTTTCACTACTGAGGGGTCAATTCCAGGATCTTCCAGATCACGGATGAAATCTTGAGTGTCTTTAGTAGTAACTACCAATGACATGTGATCACACCAGAACTTCTCTGCTAATTCCATTACATCCAATAGTTTGGCTTCCCTTTCTTCCACCAGTGTGTGTATGTTTTCCCAAATGAAAACCATTTGATCAAGTTTATCCTGAACAGCTATAGTGCACAAATGTATCAAAAAGGTAGTATGTTAGGCCCAGTTAAGTAATAAGACAAAAAGACTTAGTTTACACAGAAACAGTGATTCAATATTCTATGTATCTAAAACTGGATCATATTTTGGTTGACTCCAGTCTAGTGGGTATCGCCCCGACTGGTGGCCTATTCTACACAAATGCACCGTCTGCAGGAGTCCTGTTCCTCCTGGACCAAAGCTCTTGCGGACAAAAGTGTATGCTCAATCACAAGTAGATTAAGTTCACTAGGTTTCATGCTCACCAAGACTGGCCTTAATTCCAAAGAAAGTGAAGTAACCATGTGATTATCCAAACCAAGAATAAAGATATTTATTCAGTCCAGGAATACAACAATTTATTACATGTATTTTGGACTTGTTTCTAGAGTCCTTCTCATGAATTTCCACTAATCTATCACATGCTTTTCATTTGACCCTGAGCTCCTATCTTTCAGATGGCTGGCTCCTATCTCCCATCCATTCAGTGATAATGGATGCCATTTCTGCGGAATGGGACATAGCACCCATTATGGAGGTAGTAGAGTTGGTAATGAGAAAAAAAATCTCTAGGCCTGGTCTTATTAGTACTATGCTTTAATACATGCTTTTTGTAAAATGGCACACTTTGTGTTTAACTGGTTTATTTCAAAAACACAGGAAGACATTAATGATAGATTTATATACACAGCCCCTCAATTAAATCACAATTGCAATATGTTTTCTGAAATCTGGAATTTTTCTACATAACTGAACGGTCACTAAACAGCACTAACATTTGGAGTTGTTTTGAAAGTAAAATTCAATTGCTTTCTTATTCTGAACTTATTACCTTTGGCAGATATGTCTTTGTCAGTGCCCCCAGATCGAGCAATCATTTCCTCTCCTCTCTGTTTAAGAGTTTCATACAATGGCTGTAGCTTCTCCATGTCTACCGACACATTCTTGTTTTCACTGATTTGCTCCTTGATCTTCTCCACCTCAGCAGAGATGGAAGGTGGCTGCCTTAGTCGCTCCACAATGCGTTCCAGACTCTCAAGGATCTGGTCTATCTTGTCATGGAACTAGTGGTAAAACAGAGGGGTCATGTATGGGGAAAAGATCTGTGATACCAAACATGAATTTTTAAATGAATTTTAAAAAGGGACTAATTCTTAGTCTCTTTGTCATAATACCCATCAAAAGAGTTACATCCAGGTTGTGTATGAAACATTCCTAAAACTGTATCTTAGACATACCAATCTGTCTCTTATTACTTATACAGACCAGACTGTTTCTTCCAAATAATTGAGTGTATTCATTAAGAGATGGTATATGTCAATACATAACTATATGACAACAGCATCTTATTGCTTTATCTAGTTAAAATTCAAATTTTAAAAATTAATTTTAAATAAGTTGGCTGTTTTCTAGCAAAACAAATTGTTTTGTTCACTTTTACGGATTATTTTAGTATCCTAAAAATGCTATATTATTATGAAATAATGAAATTCATGGGCAGCTTTTATTAACGGGATTACATGGCAAAAGTTACGGATTTTCTGTACTGAAAAATGTTAAAAAATTAAATAGAGGGGCCTCCCTGGTGGTGCAGTGGTTGAGTGCTGGGCTGCGGGGCTGCCCGCAGCCTCTGCAGTGCTGGTGTGTTTCCCGGCCCTGGTCTCCGGCGAGGGTCCCACACACACACACAAAAAAAAATCTACATAATCTACATAATCCTAAATACTAAAGTAATAACTACTTGGGATTACAGAGAATGAATCATGCTCATGCCAGTAGGTGTATCTAATGATTTTAAAAACAAGCCTTGAAAACGAAAAAATTATGATTAATTTCAAGTCCACTTCTTGCAAAAATATACTTTTTAAGAAGGAAAAGATTAATTTCCAAGTTTACATTTTTTTCCTTCTTATTCATTCTATCATTCACAGTCTTACTTCTGATTGCCTTCCTGGGAGTATATTATTAATAGTGATAACCACACCTTCCTTTTTCTGTCCAAAATACTACATTCTACTCAGGATAGCATTTAAATATTTGGACAATGATGAACACTTGTCTTTTTCTTAAGTCACTGAGAATTATTTTTTATTGTCTCTAACACAAGCAAATATCATCATCAGCCAAAGACATCAATACTCAGAGTTATTGTAAAATAATAAAATAATTTTAGTTGAAATTTAATGAGGAGATCCAGGAAAATGTCTTGCCATAGTCTACTGTTTGGAAGAACCCAATCATATTTCCAGTGTAAACAATTACCTGAGTAGACTGAGAAATGGCTTCATCCAGTGCCACAGCTCGTTTTTTGACATCTTCTTTAATTTGACTGTAAAGGGTGTCAGCTGCCACATATTTCTCTTGGATAGAAAAGCCTTCCCCTGGGCTTAATTCCAGTAACTGCGGCCCAGTTTTGTTCATCTTATCTATATGAGGCTTGTGTTCAGCTATCAACTCTCGCAGTTGCTATAACAAACCAAACAGCTTCTCAGTATCTCACAGTCACACCTCCATATTACAGCTGTCTACATCCCCAATGGATCCAGCTGGCAAGCAATCCCAAACAAACACCATTCCCATCGCAAGGCATTTAACACATGATGGCACATACCACTCTTTGGCAGGAAGAGATGCCCCTGACACAAAGATTAAACAACAGTCTGGTCATGTGTAAGTCCCTCTAAGGGTACATACAAAAATGCCAGTTCAATGACATAAAGAATTCTATTATATTGATAGTTCGTTACATGTTTTATACCAAGAGCATCACATTTTGGCAGGAGTAGCAGGCCAGGATCATATTACATAAAAGCATTCTGGACTCAACATGTCCTACAGAGACCATCCTACAGAGACCAAGCCATAACTCTTGGTGTCCCTTTCTGCACACTCATGGTAGGTAGGAAGGGCAGGAGGGAGGGAGATAGGTGGGGAGGGAGTCAGCAAGGGAGGGAGGGAGGGAGACAGGGAGAGAAGATGGGAGGGAGCCGAGAGGGAGGCAGAGAGGGAGGAGGGGTTAGAAAGTTAGAGATAATACTAACAGGGCAAATTCTACAGATAAAGGTAAGTTAGGGGATTGTAAATGACAAGGCATTGTAATTATATATGTAAACCAAAATAAAATGTGTACATATATCACATTATATATGTATGTGTGAATCTATTTCATGTGCATATATATGTATGATATATACATAAAAATAAATCTATTTTTATTTTAAAATGGTAAAGGCTGCAAGCATAATTAATCAAATATATAGTCTGACATTGCTTGTATTTATGCAAAAAGATGTGACATGAATATTTTGCATATCATCATCTAACCATGAGACAATGATATTTATGCTAGTGACTGTGTGTAGAATCCACGTGGAGGCCTATTCCTTATAGGAAGATGAATAAAACTAGAATATCAACATTCCATGGAGCTAAGACATTGTGCAGTTTTTCAAGGGCCAAATCCAAAACCACTCCCAGGGAAAGCTCCACCATTGTCTAAAGGGTTCTTTAAAGTCAGCCTCCAATTTAATCAGGAGATCCAAGAGGCTGAGGAGCCTTCCATTTGGACCATATTATTGATCAGGCTCCTTAAAGAGGATTTCCTTGCCCTAACTAGGGGATAGATTTTCAAATTGTTTGTTGTTCAGTCCCTAACTAAAACTTCTCTGAAAGAAATCATATTCAGGAAAAACAATCTAATGAAAAGCTACCAATCTTCTCCTGCAAATATTTTTGTATCACTCATCAAGAAAAAAATATCAGGATGGCCACATAGCTAGATTTTTATTGAAAGGGACAACCAAAATCAGTCATGTGAATTATTTTGAAAAATAGTGAGGACACTGGTATGTTATATCATAAACAATCCCCAAGGTAATGCACTGGTTTTGAAAAGTTTTCTGAAGGTAGACTCAGCATTCATCTGCAAAAGAGCTAAATAAGCACAAATTCAACTTTTTAAAAAGGGGTTCTAATTGAACATACTGCCCATAAGAATGTGGAAGGGTCATGTCTTCAATCTAACTCCAGGGTGGTCTGGACTGAGATTATCTTATTTTTTTCATATTATTAAGTCATACCTTCTTGCTGCTTTACAAAATGGAGGTAGTAATAGTAATATTACTTCATAAACAATCTCATGGAAAGAAACATGTTATTCAAGTTATGGTTTCCATATTCCATAAAGCATGTTTATAAAACAAGCTTACCCTATGATCAAGATACTCTTAAGTAAGTGAGATTTCTGCTGAGATTTCTGGAGTTGCTTAGAATCTAGAAAGATCACATCTGTATTACACCACCAAGAGATACCTCAGCTTGTGAAGCAGTAAGATAAGCCTTTTTTTTTTTTTGACTGTTCCATGACAGACAAGAGAAAGCATACTAGATGCCTACTTGGTGGGGGCGGGGATGGGGAGGGAAGGGTGTATGTGGAAAAAGGGCCTCTTAAAAAAGGTCTTTTGCCTTTTATATACCAAATTATTCTTGGCAACATATGGTCATAAGACTCCTCATGTTGGAGATACTTATGACGCCAAGATATCTACTACTTGGTAACATAGCTCTCGGGTCATTTTTCATTACTGGCTAGATTAAACTTGAAAATATTCCCCAAAATAGCTCAAGAAAATGTTGGGCTGCAGAAAAATGCTGTTCTAGAAAGCTGCAGATTGTCTGAACAATATAAGTTATGAGATTTGATTATGGTACCCTTTATACATAAATCATGAATTTATTTTGAGAATTGAAAGATTATGCAGAAAAAAGAAAATTACTGACATTTTTTGTTCAATAATGATCCCTTTCCATTCTTCTTACAGACATAACTACTTCTTACAGACATAACTACTCAAATCACTTCACAGTAGAAGAAAACCATAGAACAATGCATATTAAAAGTCATTCAGTGGGTAGGCATCAGGATTTCCAGGATAAACCTTTAGACTAAAATTCAGCTCAATTTTACAGTTTATAAGTCTTGTTGAATGATTTAGACAGAACTCCAAAAAATTTCCATTTTGCAATACGTAGTGTTCTCTCAACATTCTCTTCTAAACAAATACTTCAGTTAGAGATATTCTTCAATGCCATTGCATTAAAGAAGTAAACAAACAAGATTAATAAGGATGTCACATACTTCAAACAATGATGCAATATACCCAGAGTTAAACTTTTCTCACATGTGTGCGATGCTCGCGCACGTGCGCGCGCGCGCACACACACACACACAGAGGACAATATCAAGAGTACATCTTGTACTGATCTGGAAAAGGGACTAGGTTCCATAAATAGCAAGAATTCCCATTTTTTCCTGACAGTCTTAAACCTCTCTCACTCAAACCCTTCCAAAATTTTAAGTTATATTAACATTCAAGTGACTGCTGAAATGAAGGATTGCTTTATAATGTTATTTTACATATGTTTATATTTGCAGATATAAATTCCAGTTAACTCATGTATACTTAAAGGAGCAGAGAACTTAAAGAGTTCCATGCACAGAAGGCAGGGAAAAAATGGAAGCAATTTGACTTTATACATCAACATGTTTCTTTCTCATGGTTAGTTTTCACAATCACTATTGCTATTTTCACATATTAATTACATTGCACATTTTCTCCAACTTCAGTGGCCTTGTACACACAATACTGCTTTGATATATTTCCACTCTTCACTTTCATTCAAGATGACTCTAAGCACTACAAATTAAAACCTAGTCAACAAATATAAATTAAAATTACTTTAAAAACATATTTCTCTAATATTTTAAAATGTGAATTTTGTTTTTGTACCTAAATTGTTCATACTATGGCCACACTATTTCATAAAAGTTCTGACACAATTGACATACACAGTATGACTCTTCCTACAAAGTCTTCAATCTTTAAATCTGATTAACAGATAAATAACTGTTAACAAATAAAGTAAACTCACTTGAGGAAACAAATTATGAGGTAAACAAATTTTGCAGACCATAACACGGTATTACTAAAATGTCCTAATTGTGTAAGGAAGGTATCTAATCACATTTTAAAACACCATAAAAATCACAAATTTCTTTTAGTGGAAATATAACATTCTCCTTTACCCTAGGCTTACCCGATGTTCTTCCTGTTGTTGTCTTAGAGTTTCATATTCAAGGGCTGGGGCAGGAAGCTGAGAGATAATTCTTTGTGTTTCTGTAAGCCATGGCCAAAGTTCTTCATATGTTTCCCAGAATTGGTTAACCAGGGACTGTGCCCTTTCTAACTGTAGGTACCTCTCTGAGTTTGTCTGGCAGATGTTATCATAGTTCTTCAAAACTTTGTCCAGTTTATTCTAGAAAATAAGATGATGACATGGTTTAACTGGTTTTTATGGTGGTCAGGCAAGTCAAGGAGAACACATTCTCCAGAATGGTTTATGCAGAGATATATACCCATAGCTAAGTAGGCACTCAAAAATGTATATAAAATTAATAAATCAATAAATAAAAGCTTTTAGATTTTAATTGCTTGAATGGATAGAAGTTTATATTTAAGTCCTCTAGTTCACTGATGTTGTTGTATATGACAGGATTACCTTTCCTTTTTCAGACTGAATAATATTCTACTGTAAAGTACTCTTTCAACAAATAAATTTTTCATACAGATGGAAAAAAATAGCAAAATGTGGATACACCTTCAAAGTACAACAATTAGAAATCAGGCTAATAAATTATGATATACAATGGAATTTTTAATTCAGTTATCAAAAATCATGGAGTTTAATGGTAAACTTCTTAAAAAAACAATATTAGGTGGCAAAACAGAAAATATAAACAAACACATAATAAGCAAAATTCTCCAGTCACTCAAATAATGTCCTCTATGTTAAAAAGAAAAGTCTCATAGAAGGTTAGCAACATTTATGTTACTTACTAGAGGAAAAAACAAGGATTACCTTGTGAAAATGAAATTTTAAGAGAAACTGCTAGTTAGAAAATTAATTACATATGTTAGAATCAAAGAAGGTTATGATAGACATTGATTTTATGGAATGGTCATAGTGATCGAGATATTGGCATAAATTTATATTACAAATTAATAGCAAAAGATAAAGCACAATAGTAATCTAAACCATAGAATGACCCAGAAATTATTTTACTTGATCTGTACTTTTCATGTCAGAATCTCTGCAAAAAGTTATACCTTAAAAGCAATGCATAGCCTTTAAAATGTGATCTTATAAAAAAAATGTGATCTTCGCATAGACATTTAATAAAACTTTTTGCTGTGAGATATTTTCCTACCAAAAGGTTTAATACAAATTCATTTTTTTAGGCTGCTCAGATGTCTGAATATGAATTGAACTAAACATTTTTACTTGTTACTGGTTTTCATCACCCTAAAAGATCACTAAAGCTAAGAGGTTTCCTAAAGTATTCAACTCATTCTTTCCCTATGTATCAACAGCTTACTGTAATTTTATACAGAATGGATTTCAGCACTAGATAGAACTACATTTTGGTTCTGTTTCAGGTCAAGAGATCCCAATGTTCCTGAAACATATAAATAAGAGCTGGCATTTACAATAGCAATATTTACTGATAACACTGGCAATAATATATAGCTAACCTTAACTGGATGCTTTATGAGTGCCAGTTATTGGAAGTCTCAAATCTTAAGTTTTTATGTCTATTAAGAAAGGGTGCCATTAGGATGATATCCCTTAAGGAATATTCCTTTCATTGCTGTTCTGTGAACTTGAAAAATTCTTATTTAAGACTAATGATTTAACTGTTAAAATGGCAGCCTTGGATAAAGGAAAATTACTTTTCTAGGACTGAAAGCTCAGTGCATACTATTAATTCAAGAATCTCACTACCATTCATGTTGATAAGATAATACCTTCATGGATTGCTTTTCCTCTTCACTGCATGTGGTCATGATTTTATGTCCAGATTTCACAAGTTCATCAATAATATCCTTGTGTCTCAAAATCTCCATGGTGAATGTCTGTGATTTACCAATACAAAGATTTTTTAAAAAAAGAGACCAAAATATAAACATTTAGGCAAAGAAGCTAAAAATACCAAATTACAAAATAAATCATGCAAGCACATTTTCTAGACTTGCAGCACACTAGCAAATACTTTAGATGCAAATGGAAATGTATTCTTCACCTTCTGAACCTGAAGCTGAGCAGAGGTCTGGTCTTGCTCAAGCCTGATGTCACCCAGAGACATCAATTTCTTTTCTGTTTCTGTAATCCAGGATAACTCAGCATCAGCTGCTTGGTCAAACTAAACAAAAGATAAATTATTAGGTTAGCAAATTCCTGTAACTGGTGCCAGAAAAATACCTATCTACATTTTTTTTAAATATCTTATTACATAACTGGAAAATATGAGCTTATCTCTTCATGGTATCCTGAAATAATTTATGACAATGACTGAAGTTACAAAGAAAGTAGTGTTTTCTATAGAGTAAACACAAAATCTTGAAACATGTTGAATCTGTTATGCTGTATTAGTGACTTCAGAACATCTGACATTGTTGCCTTCTTTTCTGGTAGTTGTAAGAATTTGTTAGGTGTTATAAATGAGTTGAACAGCTATAAAAGTCAATAGCTGGATGCCATCTCTCAGTCATTTCATCTGTGATTTTAACCCATGTGCAGTTAGCAATCTGAGTCACAATTCTGCACAAAAAGAATGAAATGTTCTCATTTATTATACACACACACACGCACGCACACATATAAATGTGTGTAAAATATATCTCTATGTATGCAGAGTATTCTCCAAAATGTCTCATGTATAATTTTTAACATCTAATTTAATGCTTGCTGAAATCATTTTCTAGAGCATTCTTAAATTTTTTAAGGGATTTTCTTTTTTGGATCATAACAAAATTCATGAATATGGTAGAAATTCATAACATAAAGGAAAATACATGAAGAAAATTAAAACCTGGAGCTACTGTTTTCATTTATTATGAACATTTCCTATATCACATTCTTTTAAATGAGATATTAAAATGCCATCACTATATTCTAGCATACCTGAGTATTTTCGGTTAGGTTCTCCTGCATTTCTTTGCTATTATATAAACAACCCTATAATGAATATCTTTTATGTAAATCTCTGTTGGTATCTCTAATTAGTTCCTTAGGGTGGATTCCTAAAAGTTGGCTACTGAATCAAAGAGGTTGAACATTTTCAAGACCTTGCATCAGATAAGGTATTGCAGCAGCTATCAAATGTGCAAAGTAGACAAGTAACACCACAAGCACCAATGATAAATGGTAACCAATATGGCCTTAGATGGAAGACTTAATGGAGATGGATTCTGTCAGTATTCAACAAGTGCTACATTGACAGAACTTGTCATTTTTTTCAGAGAACCTGGAAATCCAGATGAAGGTAGATTAAGAAGATGGCGATAAGAAATTAAATTGGAAAATAATTAACATTTTGAAACACTATGGAACATTATACAGACTCATGCAAAGATGGCAGCAGTTGGATTTTTCCTGTCCTCATATAAAAGATCTGGGAAAATCAGAAATGTAATAGGGGCAAAAATAAAAATCTTAGATTTACCTTTTAAAACTCAATTACATGAGGATTTGAAAGGGAAGACAGGGCTTAACAGACCTTTACCAACAGTCCCTAGAAATGCTACTGGAACAAATTCTGAGTATAAACCAACATCTACCAAAAAATGATACAAAGTCAGGCTGCTTGAGACTGGTAAAGTGCTTGGGTTGGGCTCTCCTGTCACAGCTTTCAGAGGCTCAAAGACATGCTAACACTGTTCTAGACAGAAAATCAGAGCTTTATCATCAGAGCTCCCATACAAGGCAGTACTTTCAAAATGACTATATGTACATTCATGTAGTCAAGCAGAATGATTTTTCCTACATTTCCCATAACATTATACATCATTATTCAAAAAATGTATCCACAAGGCTCATGGTTTGTGTGTGATGGCATTAATAAAGGTTTTGCTCACTGATCTATTAATTTTTCTGCTATTGTAACAAATTAGAACAATGTAGATTCCAGAAGGAATTTCGATAAACCACTTGAAAAATTCTATCTTAATCTGGTTTAGTTATTTTTATAATAGTATTTCATTTCAAATGTAATTTACCTATGCCAATTACTAATAAATGTGAAAAATGATTAAAAAAAACCCATTTCATAAGTCAATCCAACTGCTTCAAATGTGGAAAATGTTTCATAAAAAACAAGTGGAAGAATCTTCCATGCCTGGAATATTAGCTTTTAAGTCATATACAATGAAGCTGCAAAATTTGAACTAGTGTAGAACCTGATTACGTGACTCTGTACAAAAACAAGTAAAACATCCCTTTCTACTGGAGTACAAATGCTATGAAATATCTTAATAAAATTTAACATTCATTATTTTTCTTCTACTGGTCCTAAAAAAATAAAGTGATACACCATCCATCTTGTTTGTGTTCATGCTATTTTTAGCATTTATATGACAGTCCTAATAAAGAAACTTAGGCTATAACTGTTAGTATTAGTTTAATACTGAGTCTCCCTCCCTTAAAGTAAGTATCCAGTGAAAAACTGTGTGATGATACCATCCAAGCTGCCAAAATGAAAAACTGAAACAAACACTATTTCTTTAACCAAGGCAAACATTTGCTCTGCTAAAAGAAAACAAGACTTCAAGGAGAAATTTCCTTTGTCCCTTTTAAGAAATTTTTTTATTAAATAAGCAAATATTTATTGTTTAACAACAAATAGAACAGCCATAGGGTCGACATGAAGTAACCTAGATATATATCAAGGCATTTTAGGTCTATGATGCATCCTAGTGAATTCATAATGTGTATGTTTCTAATTGACTATAAAAACTGCATATTTTACATGTGAGCAACATGGAAGGTAAGATCACTAGACCAAATTTTGATAAATTTCTTTACCACTTATTCAGGTAGCAAACATTGACTTTAATTGATTTTGATGTATTACCTTCAAGTTGTAGGTAATCTCAGTAATAACTACATTCTAGGAACTATTTTAAGTATCATCAGTGGAACCTAAGCATTAAATGTAGCTACTGTAACTCCTAATACACAATTGAATTAGCATTTCAGAAATTTCCTACAACTTAGTGAAAGACATTTTAAACATCTGTCTCCAAATATTCCTGAAAAACACAAACTGTAATGGTTCAGCTTTCTACTGCACAGACCATTCAAAATGCTTAACATAATATCTCCTTTAATCCTGACAGCAATTAACATGGATAATGAGAAAACTATAGAGGAAAGGAGTTAATTAACTTAACAGAGATTGTCCACTTAGTCAATGTTGCACATGAGATCCAAACGTTGATCTGACTTCAAAGACCACTCTTACTTGCCATGTTAAGTCACCTGTGCATGTATGCAGTTTAGGTTTCGTGAACTCAAAATATTCATGCGATTTCAACATAAATGGACTCAAATGCCATCGTAGTCAATATGTAGTCAATATTTCAACATTTCTCCAATCTCTGACAAATCGCTTTCATACTTATTTAGGTTTTTCTTGAGTGAGAACTCAAGTTTAAGACAGTAAGAGGGATAACTGAACCTTAACCTCCAGGACATCCTTTTACTCCCTTCCCCTGGCTGTGGATCTTATCACTTTCTTTTGATTAGCATTTCCTTCCATTTTGCTTAGCATTATTCATAATACAGCCCGTATTTTCCCACCCCAACACCTGGAGGGTCTAAGCAAATCTCACTTCCGTGGGGGAAGTTTCCTTCAAGTTTTTTGAAAGAAATAAACAGGCCAATTATTTTCCTCCAAGGTTGATTCCTAATGATCCAATGAGTTGTTTATTTTAATAGTCCTCAAATCACTTAGGTGCCTTTATATTGGGTTATTAGGCCTGTTTTAAAATGTCAAGCAATTAGAACTGCTGAAAAGAGCCTGGAATTCCCAAACCCAGTGAAAATCATACAATTTAGCAACTTTTGATAACAGTACATTTTACTTTTTAAGAGGCAAAGGATGATAACAACAAATCTGGAGAGGATGTGGAGATAAAGGAACCCTCTTACACTGTCGGTGGTAATGCAAAATTATCCAGCCACTATGGAAAGCTGTGTGGAGGTTCCTCAGAACACCACAAATGGATCTACCATATGATCCAGTGACTCCACTCCTAGAAATCTACCCCCAAAACATAAAAACACAGATTCAAAAGGAAACCTGAACTCCTATGTTCATTGCAGCATTATTTACAATAGCTGAGATATGGAAACAACCTAAATGTCCAAAAACAGATGAACGGATCAAGAAGATGTGACATATATACATAATGGGGCACAATTCAGCAAACAAAAAAGATAAACTCATGCCATTTGTGGCAATATGGATGAAGCCTGAAGGGATTATGTTAGTCAAAATAAGTCAGAAGAAAAATGACAAATATTAGATGGTTTCACTTATATGTAGAATATAGAGAAACCAAACAAAAGGTCAAGAAAAAGACAAAATTAGCAAGCTGACCATAGATCTGAGGCATACAGCAAGGGACAGGGAAGGAGGGGGTCAAAACTGGTGAGGGAAGGACACAAGAGAATATGGCATTGGTTCATGGGTAATATGGTAGCAGGAGAACTAAGGGGACTACAACCTATCATCGAACTAACCAACCATAGTCAACTTCTCAAGAAAATCTTACTTCTAAGGAAACAGAACACTTGTTATTGAAAGAAGTCTTCAGTGACAATGCTAAAATGTTCAAATAAATTTTGGTATAAAAATTCGGTATTTTCCTTTTTCTTTCTGGCTTTGGACCAGGAAAAAGACTAATTATAATAAAGTAAAAATCAAAATCAACAAGCAACTATGAACCAGAGAGACACACTATGGGGGGTGGGGAGGTAGGATGGGGTAGGAGGAAGTAGGATCAAAACAAGGGGGGGTGGGAATTGTATAGGGACTATAATCAAGATGAAAATGCATACATTGTGGGCCTCCCTGGTGGCGCAACGGTTGAGCGCTGGGTTGAGAAGCTGCCTGAAGCCTCTGCAGCGCCAGTTTGATCCCCGGCTGCTCCCCGGCCACCGGAGGAGGGTCCCACATGGCACACAGACCTCCTTCCGCCCGATGCTCCCCTCAGCAGTGTATTTCAGTCCTTCTGCCTGCTCTGCTCCCCACTCTGGCTCTGGTGAATTCTCTCACCCTCCCGCGCTTCTGACTGTACCCAGTGCTTGTATAAATAAATAAATAAATCTTTAAAAAAATGCATATATTGTGCAAAAATGAAAAATGATGTAAAATATATAAAAAATGAAAAAAAATCAGTATTTTCAAATAGTTGGAATTAACTTCACAAACATACTCATTTTCCTATAATGAGCATACAAATTTGTGCAAACTTTGAAATCAGAGCCATGCAAATACACTCCTCAGGCATGAGTGCACTTCCCCTGACAAAAATTTCTTAAGCAGGCCTTTTGCTATCAATGTGTTTCATCAGCTTTTGTGATTCTACACCATAGCACTAAAATGAGGAGTATAGCATTATGTTTTATAACTATGTAAGTTACACTTTTATGGCAACTTTAGAAAATTAATTTTGGATGCTCCCACACAATCTGCTTGATTTGTGTTTCTTGCTTTGGCTTGTAAAAACTTAGTAATATACTTTCCCAAGCTTTGCTCTAAAGTATACTGCAATGCCATACTTAACCCCATCACATAAAGTTTGCTGAAAGAATCTAATGATTTAATGTAAATACTCAAAGACTTCAATAAAAGTTAATCAAAACATGTATTATAAACATCTGTATCTAGACTCCTACGAGTTGCTCACAGTTTTCTAAGAGGAGGTATGGTTAAAGATAGGGTGCCTATAAAACTCTATAAAATTATAAACACTGTGAGTTATAGAGAGGTTAGAAACTATCATTTTCCCCCCTTAGTCACCTTAAAAAAACAAAACTCTGCATTACCAACACAACTGCTTTCCTTTTAGAGAGGAAACATCTCTTTACCATGTCTTCACGTAAATGCACAATTAATGCTGACTTATATAACTCAAAATGATTACTCAGATAAAAGTTGGACTGAGGCATAAAGGCATAAAATTAACATTAGCAAAGTGCATAAATGTAGACAAAAAAACATTTTATTTGTAAAGCGGGGCTGATCTTCCCCAAGGCTGATTTGCTAAGGCTAAGTCAGGGGAACAATGAGGCAGATGGCGGTTAACAATGTACTGATCAGCCCTGCCCTGGCACTCAGATGTCAAAGTAACCCAATCAAATTCTTTTCAAAATCCTCCTTTCATTTGTGAAGCATAACAAATGATTGGAAACACTATTAAGAGAAATCTTTGTTCAGGTAAGAGCTCCGGGAACAATTGGAGAAAATTTATTGCTTAGACAACACACCACTTGTCCCTACCTGCTGTGACCTCAGAATGGCAGCATCGATCTCCTCCACCTTCTGAGTGATGGTGTTGCTCACTAAGTGGTAGCGCTCATTGTCCTCAGCCACCATTTTTTCAAGTCCTTCCCTTGCCCTCCACGGTACCAGTTCCAGTAAAGCATTGCTCACTTCATTGAGGGAGTCCAATAAGGCTTTGCTGTTTTTAGTTTCCTTTTTTAATTCCTGAAAACAGAATTTAAAAAAAAAAACATGCAAATCTGTGGGTAATACCAAAGAGTCTGAACTTTTCCTTTAATTGTCCTTGGGGTTAAAGTCCTTTGCAGGCAAATAATGGGGTGTTTTGGCCCCTCAGTTTCAATTAAGCTTTACAGACCTTTATTATTTAAAGCTATTTTGCAAAAAGAGAAAGTGTTTCCTGAGAAGTTCCAAAGGAAAACTTAGTCATTTGTCAACAAGGCAAGATTTTATCTTTGATATTTAACATAAATGTATAAAATTTGGGAAACAAAACCAAGTTAACATGTATTAGTCTTTGCCTTCTGGTAACCTCTACATAATTGGCTAACAGAAAAACAAAATAAAAAGGAAGAATCCAAGCCAGAATTAAGTGACCCTCAAAATGAGGACATACTGGCTTTAAATCATTCTAGTTGAAGCACTGTATGGTCAGGGAGCCTGACCTCTCCAACTCCCTCTCACTCACATATGATTATGCCTCAGGGTTGATAAAAACAAAGGCTGCTATGTGAAAAAAAGAATGTTTCACATGGTAGAGTAGTATTTTTGCAATATAATAAGTAAAACCACCACATGCTATGCATCTAATACAGTTATTCTAATCAAATAACATACATCTCTGAAACAATGACCATTTTCCTACCCTCCTCATCCCCCAGGTATTCATCATTCTGTCTCTTGTGTAATAAACTGTACTCACAACCCTAAGTCTCTGGAAACACATTACAATATACTTATAATACAGTGTTCTCATTTCTGGATTTCTAAATGTTTAAACAGTTGTTCTGCTGGCAATTTTCATAGGGTCCCTTCCCACCAAGGCATCCTTCAGCATATTAGTAATGACATGAGACAAGTACGTCATTCCTCTGTGAATAAGACTCCTCAAAAGATAACAAACTGATCCAAAATGTATAAAACAAAGCTTACTTTTTGTCTCACTTGAGCTTGGCTTGCTGCTTCTCCCTTCAGAACCTGAGTTTCATATGAAAGTAATTCCACCTCCACTTTGTCCAGCCAGGTGCAGAGCTCTTCATGTGTGGAGTGTAGCCGCCGTGCGAGCTGCAGTGCCTGCTCCAGAGTCTTGGCTACATCCGTGCTCAATTTAGTAATGTCTTTGTACCTTGCTTTAATGGCTTCCAATTTATCTTGAATTATTAAAACTTCATCACCTAAAATTTCAAAGGCATGTTACATCTCACAGAAGGGAAATAAAAGGTAGAGGGTTTCTTCAGACCTTATTGTACAATGATGATATTTTCTGTGGGATTAAAAAAAAGGAAACTTTTTTTCTAAAGACGATCTGACCCTAGAGAAGCCCTTATCTGAATTTTAATATTTCCCAAGATTCTGGAAAATCTGAACGGTGCTGAAAATGCAAATATGAAAACTGGAAAGGGCTACAGACCCTTCAGTTATGTGGAAAACATCACTCTGCATCTATCTGGAGGGTGCTTTGAGTTTTCAAGCATAGGAGTTAAGAACTTCCTGCATTCAAATACTTACCTTGTGGCTTTTTACCTATATAAGACACTCAACCTCTCTTTGCCCTTTGTGAGTCATCATTACAGGGAATAAGAATAGATACTAAATCATAAGGTTGGGACAAAAACTCAATGAATTTATATTTGCAAAATGTTTGTAACAGTGCCTGACTAGCACATGTATGTGCATGTGTGCACACACATACACATGTACACACATTTCACATATATTTTATTAACAAATTTATATGTACACATACATATTTTGTTTTGACATTTTTTAGAACTATCAAACTCATCTGTACTATACCAGTATGTCCTCACTTGTCTCAACTTTGGATCAGAGAAATCATATCATGGGCTTTAGAATTCTAGTTCAAGGCTCTAGATACTATATTGAATTCCTCCAACTCATAATTACTCCCACCACACACATATACTAAACTGTGAAACATAAATCTACAGCCAAGGAAATTATTAAAACAAGTTATACATCCTATATAGTGAGTTTAAGCATGGAGACATGGAAAGAGCCAAAGTATGTGTCACGAAACATAATCACAATCTATCTGTAAATTAAAAGATATTTGTTGACAGCCCATGTGCTAATCTAGAATAACTGCTGTTCACAAGTGGAAAACTAATATAATTCTACTATAGAGTTAGGCTTTTCTAACCATCTCCTGGGCCACAGCACTGTATGTTATGAGTAACTCACACAACTTCCATGAAAAAAAAAAAAAAGAATTCAAGTGAGATCATGAGAAAACAAGTGAGATCCTATCCAAAATCCCCCTGATTGGTTTTCAAAGCATTCTCCAGAATGAAGTCTTCGAGTGGCCCAAAAATTATAAAGTGTTTTATTTTTCTCCCTGCCGAAAATATTTGGAAAGCAATGCAAAATGCTAACAGCATGATTATTTGGTTTAGAATATGATCTCACCTGTTGTTTGTTTAAGTAGTTCTAGTCCATTTAGTAATGCCTGGTCAACATCTTGTTTTCTGAGTAAGATGTCCTCTTGCAGAACCTAAAACACAGGAACCAATTTTATGTGGGGAAAAAGTTTAAATTAACATTGGTATTAATTAATATAAGAAAATTTTAATTAGGTTTCAAAGAGATATATTTGGGTAATAATAGTCACTAAATTCCCATGTCAACCCCCTTCTCACCATTGTGGGCCAAGTCTGATGTTCAACTACCACAACCCACACCACTCAATTTTTCAGAAAAGACTGAGGGCCCTTTGAGAAAGGCTAAATGGAGGTGCTGGCATACTGGTTAATTATGGGTCTTTGGATAAGACAATAAATTAACAAATGAAAAGTGAAATATCCAGCTACTTTCAACAGTGACTGTGTATCTGAATACACAGGCAGTCTTTTTTGAGTATAAAATTCTTATGAATCATAATAAAATAAAATAACACATAAATAATGGAAGACCAAGGAAATGACAACAGAAATAAATAAAATAAAATAAAATAAATCAAAATACCAGAAGTTCAGACTGCTGCTTCCACAGGCCCTCAGTGCTGCAATCCTGGACTGAGAGCTTGCTTAGTTTGTCATGCACTTCATTCAGCCAATTCATCAACTCAACTTCATCTTCCCCAAAAATCTTAGCATTACATAAAGCCTGCTGGAGGAGCTCAGACCTGCTGTGACTTTTCTCTTGAATCTCAATGTACCACACTTGAGAGGAGTCTAATTTATTCTGCACCATATCTTTATCCTCCCTGGAGCTCAAAACCTTTAAGGACTGGCCAATGCTAACAGCCTGGTGTAAGTGTTTATTATGATTGATGATGTCATCTTCTAAAGCCTAAATGAAGTTTAAAAAAAGAGAGGAAAAAATAAACAAGGACAAATAAAAATGAAAACATAAACAGAACAAAAGGATGGAATTTGAAATGGGTTTAATTTGAAATATGCATAACAAAACAATAGTACATAACTCAAATTTATGTCATAAAACAACAAAATGGAAAACTGAATCTTACTAATGTGTGATTGGTATCTTACTTTATGCTGCGCAATTTGTTCCTCAAGTTTAGACGCCTGGGTTCCTATGGGCTCACAATTTGCCAGCTTCTTTTCTATGGTCGTAAGCCACTCATTCAGTGGTTCTAAGGTTTCATGAAATTGCTGTGCTACCACGGAGATACCTTCCAATTGACGATTCCTATAAATGTGCCAAGATAAAGGTCATTTAGGGATGAAGAATGTGTGAAATATTCAACAAAAATTTCACTCCTGCTGCTGCATTCTATTCTAAACATTTTTTGTAGAAAACATCTAAGGTTAAAATAGAATCTCTCACATTTAAAAGACATGTTAAAATAGTTCTCCTATTAAGTAAAATTAAAGTTGAAGAACAGACCAGACTTAAGTGCCTGAATGTCAACAAAATCTCAAGTAACTTGGCTATGATACAAGTATAATAGTTATAATAATAATTATGTATAATAACAGCAGCAATAATAATGACAATAATAAGCAATATTTAAAGAACACATATTCTGTGCCAGATGCTGTTTTAAGTGCTTTATATATTAATTGCCCTCAATCAGAGCACCAATTACTGACATGGCTTTAATCAAATGGTAAAAATATGTATCTCAAGAACACCCTTAACTTCCCTCTCCTCTTCCCCAGTGGAATTTAAAGTGACTCCTATTTCTAAAAGTACTATGTCAGGTATAGTTCCCAAATGCAACAGTCACAATTTGGGACTTAAAATATCATGAACAGAGGAGAAATATTTCTTAGACTTTTACTTGTAATATAGAAAATAATTTTCTCAGCTGAAGAGGTACCAGGTAAATTAAAACCTACTTCTATTATCCTCGGCTTTTCTCTAGGGAAAGTGATTGTGCTGGTCTGCATATTTAACATACAGTATGATTCAGCATCAAATCAAGATTCTGTTGGAATCAAGAGTTGCTGTCGTAACTTCTGATTATGTTTAATTCTTAGGGAATTATATGATTTGAGAAATTAGCTTTCTATGTGGGCAAAAGGAAAAATTGGAACATGAATAGGATTGTGTACCGAATACAATTTCTGTACCATTAGGTCACAAACTATACATGCAAGCATTTTTTATAACTTTCAGTTGAAATACATTTGATCCTAAGAAATCAATAAAATTTCTATATTATTTTTAGTTTCTGGATTATTATTATCTATGACTTTTTTCTAAGCTGAAAAATCCAATCATCTGGAATCAGGAGAAATAACTATTTAGTTTAATTTACTATGAATTAAATTGTGAGCAAACCTATCAATCTGTGTGTGATTCATAATATGACCAATATCCCTTCATTTAACACCACTGTGAGGAAGATTTAGGAAAGAAGATTAGTGATGGTAGTAAAGCAGACATCTAGACATTCACCATTTTTTAAAAAGCACTAAGAATATCTTCCATGGCATCCAGGACACAATGTCCCAGTGCATTACACAGAAGGGTTCATCTGTACATGTACATACTGAAGTACAACATGAAACTCTGAGCTCTTTAGATGCACCTTATTCTATGTTCCCAGAACAATAATTAATTCTATTCCATAATTCGAGATTAGACAAATGTTTCTCTTCAGTATTCTATCTCCAACAAAGATAAGCAATTATGGAACCCATTATTCAGTGATTCATCTCTGTTTAGCCCAACTTGTCTATGAGACTAGACTTCAATGTAGTGAGTATTCAATACCATTCAATGTGGTGCCAATGCAGAGAATGAAAAAATACAATTTAAAAAGTATGTTGAGTGCAAGAATCCAGTGGAGTCATGTTCTAGGCATGTTGATGTTCATAAATTTCGTGGCACTCTCTGTTGTTTCACTTCCTAATTCACACTTACTCCTCCTTTAAACCATAGCAGATTTATAAATTTTCTGCCTCTAAAGTAGGTTCTTCCTTTTATAGGCTCCTATATTAGCCTTTATTTTTGCTTTGAAAGATAACCCATGTCATAACTTTCCAATGTCTACAAAAACTCAACTAGACTTATCCTGTCCGAGGGCAGAGATGATATCTCTAGGGCACTCCTATGCCTGATGCATGGTAGACAGGCAATCACCATGTAATGAACAAATGAATGAGTCACTCCAGAAAGAAACACTTTTCTTAGACAGGTGGGATAAATCTGGTGACTACGAAACATTACCTTTACAGGAATGCGGAGAGAGGCAACCCAGCCCTTACTCCCTTTGTCCACACAGATGGCAAACATAGGAAAATAACAACTTAAAGATAAATATTGCCAAAATAAAAAATATCAGTATTAAATCCACTGGTACTCTTTCAAGAGATTAGAATTATGTAAGTCACCTCGTTTCAGCTTTATTAAGCAATGCCTCCCATCTACTATCCAAGAGGCTCAGTTGTCTCAAAATCTTCACTTTATCTGCAGGTTCTGCTGTAGCAGCAATTTTTTCTCCTTCTCGTTTGATTACTTCCACAGTAGATTTGCGGTCATCCAACAATCTTTGGAGAAGCTTGGGACAATACAAAAAGGAAAATAATAATTTTACAATAAGAATGAAACCAGGGGTCTCCCTGGTGGTGCAAGGGGTTAAAACACAGCACTATGAAGCTGTCCACAGCCACAGCAGCAAGAGTTCAATCCCCAGCCAGGGAGGTGACCCACATGGTGCAGCAGACCTCTCCTGACTCGCCTGCTGCTCCCTTCAGCAGTGTATTTCAGCAGATCTGCCTGTTCTGCTCCCCACTGTCTCTGGTGAATCCTCTCACCCACCGCATCTCTGGCCTACAGCCCAGATCTTGAATGCATAAATAAATACATCTTAAAAAAAAAGAATGAAACCATATTCTAAGTACCTTTGATTTGTGATCAAAAATGTATTTTAGGGCCTCCCAGGTGGCACAGCGGTTGAGCGCTGGGTTGCGAAGCTGCCCGCAGCCTGTGCGGCGCCAGTTCGATCCCCACCTGCTCCCTGGTCACGGGAGGAGGGTCCCGCATGGTGCGCAGACCTCTCCTGCCGCCCGCTGCTCCCCTCAGCAGTGTACTTCGGTCCTTCTGCCTGCTCTGCTCCCGCAGAATTATCTCACCCTCTGGTGAATTCTCTCTGGCTCTAGTGAATTCTCTCACCCTCCCGCGCTTCTGACTGTACCCAGTGCTTGTATAAATAAATAAATAAATCTTTAAAAAAATGTATTTTATAAGGATGCACATACAAAACGATCTAAAAAGTAGCATTTTTGAAATAACTTATTACTGTTGTGTCACACACTGTGGTAGGGGCATTTCACAGAAAATAAATATTGACAAGGCCACTAAACCTGTCATTAATTTTTTAATGTAAGAGGACAGAAGGCACTGCTTAGGGTATATCCACTGGATAATGGGGAAAGTACATTACTGTCATTGTAATAAAATGGAAATACCCAAAACATTCAACAATTTTCTATTGACAGGCAGACATACTAACCACTATACTAACAAGGACATTTTCTGTCCTATTGAGACAAAAAAATTATGATACATTGTCATTACTGGTTTCAAAATCTTTTCTATAATAAATTTAAATCCATTATATACAAGGAAGTTGAGATTCAGAACAAGTTTACAATTTAGTGAGGTTAAAACTAGAGGTTCTTGGCTCCTTTTTTTCAGGAAGTTCCTGTAATCCTCTATGAAGATGAAAACTCAGAGAGGCTTCAATTATTTCCAAAAGGAGTATAGGGTGGAACATGTCAGAAATCTCTGAATCTGTGTAAATGGTGTAATGTTTCAGGATTTAGCAGCAGAAACAAAATTTAATTTAATTCTAAGTTAATATTTCAAGACTCCTGGAATTGAACGTTTGATATAGGTAGCCAGAACTTAGGATTATCTTGCTCTAATCTTATCAAAATAAGTATTTCAGGAGCAAGGGCTTGGCACTGGCACTGTGGTAAGAGCATTGAGAAAGACACGGGTGTATAAAATACGAAATACTTTATTGCTTCCTTAAGCTGATCCTGATTGACAGTTAAGACTGGATATTTACCAAGAAGCATTTTGAGATCAAGACCACCAAAGCAGAAGGTTAAGAAGCACCTCAATGGGAAGAAGAAGAAACGCAAACTCTCCTGACATAGATTAAAGTTATTATATAACCAAAGCATAACAGGTGGTGGAGGCAGTAAAGAGAACTAATTAAGTAAATTACTTTGGGTAAACTTGAATAGCAATGCCTCTAGCAATTAATAAAGCAAAATAAACAAACAGGTTTTGTTGGCTGAGCATAAGGCATTAATTCTGAGAGAATGACAAAGGATTAAATTAAATTATAAATAGTCCAAGTTACATTATTCAAAATTCACGCAAATGCAATGTGTTCTAGTTATGTTTCTTTAGTCCTCACCTAATTTCCCATTATTCTAAAGTCTTCAAATAATTTTTAGAGAGATAGTATTGAACACTGTCAAAATTAAATGAAGCCTCCTAATCCACTCCCTTCTTTTTCAAATTACACACAGAACCTTACCAACACACTGTTTGCCAGGTCCCTTCCTGCACTAATTCTAGTCATGGTGACAAATTAGTACTCAGAGACACCACTAAATGCTGCATGATGAAGTGAATAGAAGAAGAAAATTTATACATGTGGTCCCAAAAATAATGGCGGCTTTTTATTGGCCACCATGTCTCTATTGAGTGTGTCTTTACATATTAAACCTGCATTAGTAGTGTCAAAAGATACAACAGCATATTCCTTAGTATATACAAATCACATTATTTGCTAAATATAGAAATACAGGTTGAACCATAGAAACCGTCCTATATGTAATCTATTAAAATGGCAATTTCATATGGATCAACAACATACAAAAGGACAGTGATATTTCTGTTCAAAGTCACATTTTCCTGAAATTTCCTTGACTACTCAGTACAATGTTGACACATGCACACACACGTGCGCACACACACATACACACAGAGCCCTCTATCACTTCCTGTTCCCTGTTCTTGCTTGGTCACTTCCTAATTCTTATCTTCCACCCCAGCTTTCTTATCACTTGGTTCTTACCACGATTTACTTACTTTGTTTATCATCATCTCTCTCTCATGTTCCTCCATTCTCACTGAGAACTTAAATTCTTAAGAGGAACTCTTATCTTTTTTAGTAAGTCTCTAACACCTACAACAATGTAACCTACTGGCACATGTTCAATAAATATTTGTTGAATGACTAATAAAGTAATGACTAGACTATCAATTAGCTAGAACACATTATTAATGTAAATAGAATCATGGATTTTTTTTTTTACTCTCATTATTAAGATTTACATAAAACATAATCCAAAAGCTTCACTATTACTTACCTTTTGTTCCTGTATCTGGGCCTTCACTACTTTGAACTCTGCTGATGGAGGCTTTTGATTGGCCACAAGCTCCTCGGTGTCCACCATCCAGCTAAGCAGGGACTCCAGAGCATCCTGGAACCTCCCACAGTGTAGCAGGGCCTCCTGCAGCTGGGCTGCTCGCTGAGCCACCTGCAAAGTTCCAGTTGCTCATCTTATTTATTTGTTTCATAAAATAATGACATTTGCCAAAGGGCCACTACTTTTCATGCTTATGTTCCCATCTGGTCATAAATTTCCTTTTCCTTCTCACTTAAAACTTATCTAAAGCGGGCCTCCCTGGTGGCGCAGCGGTTGAGCGCTGTGTTGCGAAGCTGCCCGCAGCCTCTGCAGCGATGGTTCGATCCCCGGCTGCTCTCCGGCCACCAGAGGAGGGTCCCACATGGCGCGCAGACCTCTCCTGCGGCCCGCTGCTCCCCTCAGCAGTGTATTTCGGTCCTTCTGCCTGCTCTGCTCCCAGCTCTGGCTCTGGTGAATTCTCTCACCCTCCCGCGCTTCTGACTGTACCCAGTGCATGTATAAACAAAACAAACAAACAAACAAACAAACAAATAAATAAATAACATGCCTCTAAAAAAAAAAAAACTTATCTAAAGCATGATAGTGGGTAGAGCGCAGTCAACATTTAGAAAGTAAGGCATAAAAATAAGGTTGTCATCCCAGTTAATGTGAAATATCCAATGTAATTTTTGATCAGCAATTAATGATTCAAATGTTTTCAGGTTACAGAGAGAAACAATGTGAAAGTCATGCTTAATTATCCTTGGGACATATTTTTTATTTCCTATTGAATATGAGACATAATGATCATTTAAAAAAAGACCAAAACTAATCAGAACTGTACTTTGTTAAGCAAAAGACTAGAAAGTACACAGTTAAAATTCTGACAGCTTCAAATTCTCTAGTCCTTTTCTGCCACACCAGTGTCTTTGTCTTCTAGTAAATGAAGCCTCTGTGTCCTCCATAGAGATATCTTATTGCCCTTCTCATCAAGTTTTCCCTTTTGGACTGAAAAAGTACTTGGCAAGATATTTTAAGCACTATGGAATATATTTGTACCTGACACTGCATTCTAATTGTGTTTGAGGAACACAGTATGAATCCGACTTTAAAGAATGACAGATATAGTTCAAGATCTGGCAGCTACCTTAGATCTCAACACAGGGAAGAAACTGTAAGATGAGTGACAACATTATCCAGGTAAGCACTATATACCATAATAATTTTCAGGTAATTTGTGTCATGTGAAGAGCTATCATTGTGTGTCAGCAATATTTCTGTAATATATTATGACATTATTTTCTAATGTGTTCCCTTGTGGACATTAAGAGGTAGAATTTATATCTTATAAGGGAAATAATATTTATAGCTAATTGGCTATGGAAAAGGCAGCAAAGCTTTAGTCCAGGTTGACAGAGACACAGTTGCTTTTACTTGCACATTATAACCTATTATACAGTTTGTCATTAGTTGCTGGAATTTGAAAATTAGAAGTTTCACATAAAAAGTGAGATTTCCACGTTATTTGGAAAGTAAGTAGACTATTTGGCAAAGTCAGACTTGATTCCTACATGTCAATAATTTGCTAGTATTGTACCTTTAGAGGTGAATACTCTCTCAACAAAGGGCTATGGATCATGGGCCACCTGCCATCACACCTATAATGCTGTGTCTCTATCAAAGTCAAGGTAAAAGCAGGGACAGACCCTGCTTTACCCAGCTTGTTTCTTTCATTTACCTAGCTCCAGTGGACTTCTGAGTCTGGGAATACAGTTTATAAGGAAAAGAAAAAGTAGACATGTTTGGCAAAGTCAGCCTAGATTCCTCCATGTCAATAATTTGCTATCACTGTAACTTTAGATGTGAGTACTCTCTCAACAAAGGGCTATGGATCATGGGCCACCTACCATCACACCTGCACTGCTGTGTCTCTATCAAAGTCAAGGTAAAAACAGGGACAGAACCTGCTTTACCCAGCTTGTTTCTTTCATTTACGTAGCTCCAGTGGTTATCTGAGTCTGGGAATTCAGTTTATAAGAAAAAGAAAAGTAGACATGTTTGGCTACTATAAATATGATATTATTTTCTATGTTAGAAAATAATGGGGGTTAGGTAATTACCTTTTTATTGAGAGTCTTCCACCGTGTATTGACATCTTCCAGGTCATGCTCCAAAGTTTGGGTGCTGGTCCCTTTAGCAGCACTCTGAATAAGGCCTTGACCTAACCAGTTCACATCTTGCTGTTTAACCTGCAAAGGTTCAATCTCCTCTTTTTGGAATACCTAGGTTGGAAGAGCAATAAATATATGTATTATCGCACCTAACAACCACTGATATGTGTTCAATTATTGGGTATCAATTACTAAAGCTAAAGTTAACTGTTGTTGCCTATTCATAGGTCATAGCTACACTGTAGCAGTAAAAAAGTAAACTAAATATTAATTCATAGTATCATGAAAACCATTTGTAAATATTAAAGAATGATAAACTTAGTACATTTAATCAGATTACCTCAAAACCAAGAAGAACATATGTATCCATTCTTTACTGTTTCATTATCAGAGTAATAGCATTTCTGATGAATCCCATTTAACTCCAGCAAAAAAAAAAAAGTATGAAAAATGCTAAGAAGCAAGATAATAAGATGGGCCCAAGATGAGTCTTACTGGGAAAGAATCTTTATCATCTCTTTTGAGGATGGCTGCTGCTACCTGGCAATTAAGTATGAGACTCAAATTTAAGATAAGAATCACTGATGAGTAGATGAAATAAGAGGCCAATTTATGGCTGGCCAGAGGACCAAAAGTATAGGAACAGGAAATGGAAAAAGATATAGACAGAAGTGGCATAATAAGGATCCCTATATATTAAGATGCCTGTGGGCTTCCAAGGGGCATGGAGACCTTACCCCAGGGATCTGATCACACACATTGACAGCAATTACTCTCTGGTCACTGCCTCTATTTCTGCACTCTCCCCCAACGCTCCATCCCATCATTACACTGCCCCAGTTGCTATAACTGGCAAAAGATCTAATGTGTTAGATTAAAAACAGGTTCCACAACAGCAGAAATTTCTCTCACTCTTACAGTATTTCTCTGCTCCAGATCTACCACAGTACTTAGTTTGTAATATGTACCCAATGATTATCTGCCCAATGAGTATCAGTAAAGAAAAATTTTTTTGGTATCTTGGAGTGGGTGACATCAGCCACTCAAGAGATTACACTGGGGGGTATATCAACTTTTTCAATGTATAATACAAATGTTTTTAATGTAGGTCTTGAAGGATGCCATGAAGAAAATAAATTAAGGTAGGAAAAGTTCAGATGGGTGTTATGGTAAGACAAGGTTTGGGGTTCTACTTCAGTGCACTTTATAAATGTATCAGTAGTTCAAGTGAATGGATAGTCAGAATATATGAAAACATAGTAAAGGAAAATTTCAAAGTAGCACTTGAAACATTATATAGAAAGTATTTTTTGAAATATGTAGCAATTCCAACAGACAAACTCTCCAGATTCTTCTGGTACTCAGCCTTAGCATGCTGGATACTTCTGTGTACTGTGTGAATGAGTAAACTAAGAAGTAGCAAACAAGTGATTATTTCCTCTGAAAAGTCTCCCCTTAGTGAAATGCCCAAACTACTAATCCATACAGACAATTCCCACAATGATCAATTTTTTTCTATGTAACAATTCTAAATATAAAAGGTCAGCTATAATAATCAAAGAAATTATAAGAATTCTCCCAAATCATTGAGGAAAAAAACCTATTTTTGTATTTTTTTAAAAGGCCTTAATTTACCTAATAAGCCAATTAGAAAGTTACAGTAAGGTGTTGAATGTAGAACTTGGCACAATGATTTCCTATATCACTTTCTAAGTTACCACTTCTAGGAACTACTAACTGAGGATATGTTTTACTACTTACAAAAAAGGTAGGTATGAAAACTGCTACACTGTTAATTCTAGGAATGTGTCTGGCATATAAGAACGTAGGGAAAATTTTTATTCTCCCTCATTGTTTTTAAGATTATAAATATATATATATATACACACACACACACATACACACATATATATATATGATGTTCTAATAAAAGGTCTTAAGCTCTGAACTTTTCCTTTAAAGAAATTACTTTCAGGCTTGCATATTAGAGTAGTACTAGAAAAAATATATAGTAACTATTAAAGAATCTATACAGACCACAAAGGACTTCATTACTTTTTACAAACAAACTACAAAATCACTTACAGAAAAAAAGCACTTTGCTAATAAGCTTTTAAATTAGCATGCCACTTAGTTTATGCTCAGGGAAGGGATTTCCCCACCACAGCAATTGTGTCACAGACCAAGAAATGGAACTTTTCTGACATTATCCAAATTCCTTATCTCCAGTGCTAACGAAATACCTTTGAAGAGTGACTGTCCTTCTAATCCATTCCATCAGCACACAAACACAAAGAGATGCTTGAAATAAAATGAAATAACCTCTGAGGCAAAGTTTACCAGAAGAACTTAGTAAAAATACCAAAATAGCTAAACTTCAATCTGAGCAGGAAGAAAAAAATTACAGGGTTGACAAACAACCTCTACTTATTACAAGGTTGCACCCTTTACTTTCTTACCTCACTCACCACTCACAAAAAGTTCAGTTATAACGACTGCAAAATGCAAGACAATAACTTCTCTACTTGCAGATGCAGAGCTATTAAGAAAATATGCAGCACAATTAAAAGCCCTTATTTTGAGTAGCTTACTTCACATACTGCAACCAACATAACACTTTTTGTACCTTCATGACTAAGTATTTTAAAGCTTAATAAATCCAATGCAACTGCCCTTTAAATGGCAGTGTCTTAAACCATGATTTGTGTAAAAGTATAATGTTAATATAAAGTCACAGTGGAGGCATTCTAAATAAAGGGGAAGAGCCACTATTTGTACAATCAATAGGAGGACTCTAAATGGCACAGAATACTCACTTTTATCAAAACTGGCTCCTAATTAATTTGTTAAAAAGGTCAACTTGTGAAGGTTTAGGATATTAGCTAAACTCCCAAAATAAAAGACTGGATTTGACTGTTGTTAGAAATACTAGTAAGCACTTAAAACAGAGCCAGGAACTTCTGGCACTGAAGTTTCACAATTCCATTAATTACCTGGACTGACGGAAAACCATTACAGAATGTATCCAACATCCCCGCCTGGGCCCTTGTTCTTCTGGGAGCTGTTTTCTTTCTTACTGGTATAAATTTCGGGGCACACTTCATATGAATCACTTCCATTTCCTGGGTTGAATGGGGAGCCTCCACTTCCTCTTTAGATGCTATGTTGGATTCTTCTGAACCATATGGTGTCAATAGTGTCACATTTTCTACCAAACTTGTGCTGCCACAATCTACATCATTTCTTCTCAGATCTGTATGAGGAAGATGTAAATCCTCAGGAGAATCTTCTATAAATTCCCTATTTATTGATGTGACATGGAATTCCCCTTCTTCTCTGGGGTTAGAAGTGCACTTCTTTTCTCCATCTCTTGTCATAATTAGTGGGTCACACTTAATAGTACTCTCTTTCAAATCATTCTGCAGACAGTAATTTTCACCATGCATTTCCCTTTGACCACTGACATGTTTTGTTTCCTCTAGTGGAGACACATCATGCAAAATCATTTTGCAGCTTTCATCAAGGTGGGCACTTCTACATGAAAGCAGTGGGATTTTTTGTTCATTAATGGAGTTAACAGGAAAAAATGGTCTATATTGCTCTGGTATATGAATATCTTCAGTAGAAGATAAGCTTCTAATTCGTGGCTGGTCTCCAGTTAAAATGTTCTGTTTTTCTTCCCGCTCTGCTGGAGGGCTACATAAACCAGAGTCATCCTCCTCCGATGTGAGAGAATTAGTAGCCCATCTGCACTTGCTTGCCTTAGTAACAACATCTGACATATCAGTAGGTTCAACAAAAGAGCTTTCACTTTTGTTTGCATAATCCATGAAATTGGCTGGGACAAACATTCTCCATGACCGTCTATGCTCTTTCTTTTCAGCATGAGATTTGGCTTTAGGTAATCCTGTGGTTCGAATGATATCACTATTTAGTTTGAGTGCATCAAAGATCATCTTTTCATCTAGTTTGTTAGCTTCACGACCCCTCAGCTCAAATACACTGGAAGAAGCAAGGGCACCGTTCGAGCATAAAGAACTAACATCCAGTGTTCTGTGACTGTAGGGTAAAGTCCGATCTGTAAAATGCCTGGAAGACAGGCTACCTTTTGAACCGGAGTCTATCTGTTCATTTAGTCTAACAGTATCATAGATGGACCGCTGTGGAACATAACAGTCTTCAATATTCAGGTCCTCCTCTTCTTCACCTTTCCCTACACATGGGGGATTCTGACGTAAACAGTCTGGTCTGCTGAGTGGCTTCCCCATTTTGTAGATAGTTAAAACAAATATTGCAGCTCTTGACACAGAATATAAGAAATAAGGTAAAGCATCTCTCAAAGTATACACTTGTGAACAGAATTATAAAGTGCCTTCCACGTAAAGACACACACTCAAATAATATACATTGTAATATATGAGGTGTTTAAGGTTATTATCAGTGCATTGGTCTAAATGCAACTATCCTTTTACCTGGCTGCCTTCAGAATTATTCTAAAAAGTAAAGTGCATCAAGAATAGAGAATAGAAATCTCCTCCCTCTCCCTCCCTTAGTCCCCAAAGTTCCCTTTCACAGACTCCAAAATAGAAAAAAAACCAAACATACACTTAACAGTGGTTCAAACACCAGAACTCACTCCTTTGTCAGTCCATTTCCCTATTTAGTTTGATTTTGCATCGAAGGCTTTCAGATTAAAATTTCCAAATGAGCAAGCATTTCAACAGGCTGAGTGCTAATTTTGGCAGAATGGGTTAACTGTAATCCACTTAAAGATGGTTTGCAAAACTCCATCTCCTTTATAAATAAACCACGTCTTAGAAACTTAGAAGACAAACACAGGGGCCATGTATTGTTCAAGGCACAGAACAAATCTTCAGCGAAAAATAAGTTAAGTCTAATGCTGTAAGAAAGTTAAAATTTTCTTTTACTTTTTTGGGAAATAGCCATAAATAATCTCAAGTCAAATCACAGTTTTTCTTCTTATATTAAGCTTCTTTGAAGCTATTCAGAACTACCCAAAGGAAAAAATAAAATTAGACTTTTGAACAACCAAGCTAGTACACTCCAGCAACTGTTTAAAGTAACAAATTAGAAAGCATGGTGTACTACAG